ATCAAAGCGAAAGATATTTCATACAAAACTTGTAGCTGTAGATGTCAGCTATAAATAAGATTCTATGCAATTTCCCCGTTAAAATTGTTTTAATTTTGAAACGTCAAAATTGTGTCAAAATCTAGCAGCATCAACGTTAGATCGAGCACTCAAAGAAGAAGACAGACTTATTACTCTTTTTGAATCTTATGTTCTTAGGGGAAATTAATATTAGCCGGATATTGGCCAATCATTGTCCCAAGTCCCAAACTGTACGCAAATATAATGTTAAGAAAAACTGACTCTATCACAATATTTGAAAGCATAGTCGACGATGCATTCAGGCTGGCACGTCAATTAGTCTTGGTTTGATGATGGAAAGAAATTATCGGAGAACAATGTAATAGATAAAGACCAAACCCGCAATTTAATTGCTTCCATAGTCAACTCATCCGTCAAAGCTAGACACTCATCCATCAAATGAACCAAAAGTTCCATGTGTTATAACAACCACCACCCCGCCATATCAACAGGATAAAACGTACGCGTTTCATAGTTTCTATCAATAAATGGTCGCGTCAGAGTGTAACGCAGAGAGGATGTCACAATGTTGCATTATTAACCCGTGACGTCTGGGTATGGTAGATTTCCGTCTATGTAAGATCATGAAATTCGCCGCGAATTTTCCGTGTAAGTAGATAGCGAGATATTGCACGGTTAACGAGAAGTTCGACCTCTGATGAATCGCGATCTTGATGCAATCATTAATAAGCGATCATTTCTAGGTTCATTATTATTTTCCACACAGTTTTCTAAGAACGCGTATGAAATATAATCTCTCAATCCCATCTCTGCCTCAATAATGAAAAAAGTACCGCGATGAAATAATCAATTCAGCCGGGTACATTCTGAATCAGTGGGCGGATCACCAAGTTTTCTTTCCTTCGATTAGTGGAAGAGATTCCCACCAGTTCGTTCCTTGCGTACGTCACACGCGACCGGAGCACGACACAGGACAATCTCGTTGCAGTGATCAGGATGATTCACCCATTCACCCAGCATCGACGTTACGCACAAACGTGGACGCGTGTGCGGCACGGGTTTCTCGCGAGATGACGCGAGCCGCACGAGTCGTCCACCGGCCAATGCCGTGTGACGCACTCAAATACCGTAAAAGAAACATTTTAATTGTAAGTAAATAAAAGATCCAACTGTACTTTCCGAATTGCAATTATTTCATATGATCGTGTTGGAATCCCGAATGTTTCGACAGGACCAAAGATCGACCCTTCAGCGGTTTGTCCCCAGATGTGAGTCCGATAAAAATCGAGGCAATGCTATTTTACGATTTGTGTGTGCAATCATTATGTTGGTTTGTAACGCTTCGTTGGTCAATCAGGAAGGGTTTCTCCCAGTGCTCGTATGTACCTGGGTTTTCTCCCGACCAGTTTTAATGTTCGACGCGTGGTACATTCTTCCGCCAATAATCAGATTTGAGTAGATCGTACTGATTCACGTTTGGAATACTGATGGAACGTGATATTAAATTTGCATGCGATTTGAGTTGTTTAGAAATTGTACATCTCAGGATAAGGAGAGTAAAGAAAGAAAATTCGGAAACAGTTGCTGCATTTTATTATAATATAAATAAATAAAGTTGTTATGTGGTAAAAAAGCACCTGACATTATTATTTGATTACTAAAGAGTTTTCTCTTGCAGAGGAATACTTCAATCTGTACGATAGTACATTATATAATAAATATTAACTTATGATTATACATAATTGAGTATCATTTTCATAGTGTGGTTTCACAGGAACGTTAAGTGCCTTACTGAAGAGATAGGATTGACGAGCATGCTGGAATAAGTCTTCGATGCTTCGTTTGTTTCTATGTGATTCATAACAATTCTTGCAAATTTCTTTGAGCTGTAAAAGCTTTTTCCAGGATGCTTTTCAATCATCTTCATTGTCCACGTTCGAATACATAAGAGTAATAAATAGAAGTTACGATGATCTATTGTTAATAAACAATTCTTGAAAAATAATCGTTGTGTACATTACCACCGAGCGTTTATCACATTGTTTGGCACAGCATCGCTTGCGAGAGGTAGTAACTTATTACATAATATTGCATGATTATCTACGGACATCGAGTATTGAGCAAATCAAAATTTCCCACAATGGGAACGTCATGTACTTATAAATATCCGAGGCTTATTTATGGCTATATATTAGTAATTGTCACGTTACTCTTATCAAAAGAGTTTTAAATATTTCTAGACTTAATCTACCGTCTGGCGACTGGCCTGCCAGTTTCCAATTCTTAATCCAAAATTGAGCAAGTTTTCTATGCAGAAATACAAATGTCCTTTTACACATAACATCGTACGCTCCGCACATTATTTGCGCACTTTTTCACGTTTCTTTTCACTTATTAGATAAAATTTAAAAAGCGTTTTCAATTAGCAATTAATCCAATCCCAGAAGTCGTCAGACTAAATAAGTTCGCAATTTTTTATCAAATCGCTTGGTCGGGAAGGATCGAACGTTAGTCGCTACATGCTTTATACCATACACTAATCCAAAATGTTAAGTAATCAAGCTACCCATAGAGTTGTAGAAATCGGAGCTCATGAGATTCTTCGCCCTCGTCCGCTCGTGAGATTCTTCGCCCTCGTCCGCTTGTGAGATTCTTCGCCTTCCGTGGTAGATGAATAGGGAACGTTGAATTGAACGTACATCCATCACATCTTATTAATCTTCGATTAATTAGTAGTTTAGATCTGAGTGATCTTTTAATTCTGTTCCCTCGCCCACTTCTTTTGCGCATACACAACCCTCCAAGCTCATCACGTTTTTCTTGTTCACATCTTGCGGCCGGGATAACTCTGCAGAAGCTTGTACGCAGCAGCAATTGCAATGTTTCCCGGAGTAGCACGTAATATTTTGGCACCTGTCATAATAAAGTTCGTCTTGTAGTCGTAGCCATTCCTCAGGATTCCCTTTGGTAGAGCGCCTATGACCACAGACTGCTCGCTTCAACAAAGCTTTCAGCTCCCGATAGGAGCTTTCGTTTTCGATGCTGACTTCGTTTGACAGTGTTTTCGGGCTCGCTTGATCAATTGATCCAAGACAACATCTTTTGTGATGTCGATGGAAGTTGTGCTCGTGAGACGATCGCTTTGACACAGTCCTGGCAGCTGCTAGTTGTCTCTCGGTGATAACGATGACCACCATACAAACAATGATACCAGTCATGTAGGTAGAGAGCGACATGGTTTTGGCCATGTTCGAGGATATGTTCGATCGACTTTGAGTCCTAAGCTTGGAGCTCGTCCGTAAGAAGCAAGATCTTTGCGTACGGTTTACAGAAAACTGAATTCCAGTTGGCCATCGCGGCTGCCTTTTAATCCCTGGGAGTCCCAGGCTGGGACAGTAAACCTGGGATGACTGTCACCGTGTCATCCCCTCCTTGCGTTTCGCCGGACCCCGCCTGACCGGTGGATGCTTTCTTCGCGATTAACATTTGTCAAGTGATGCAACGGCTTCCTTCCTGTTTCCTCCTGCAAACTCGCAACCGTGCAATTTGGTGTTTTCCTTCGACGCAACCTGCACGATTCGTTCCCGGAAAATCGTGAAAAGGGACAGTGATTCCTCAACGAGGATAACCCAGTTGATGGATACTTGTGTGCAACTGACACGGCCCCTTTCCCCGTCGACATTTACGCACGGCGCGTACCTGCGGGAGAAAAAACGTTGCACTTATTATGCAAGAAAGTGCGTAAACGTTGGTTCTCCGAGCCGAAGGATCGCGGTGCGCGTCGGTGTCAGTTAATAGTAGACAGTGCCAATGACAGGAAATTCGAGTTTACACGTCATTACTTACTAGTCCTGTATCGCTTTCATGCAATTTCTTACGCATGAGCAAGGAACGATCTTAATCCTGCGGAAACATCATTTGTACGGTAAATCCCGAGATGTCATTGGCTCAGCAATCCGCGAGAGCAAGGTTGCGATTTTCCCCTGGCGCGAATCATTCTGGATTGGGCAATGTATAGCTGTTAACACTTCGCGTGGGATTGCAGAGACTGAGATTTCTTCAGCAACGGGAAACTGTCGTATCATAGGAAAAATAGAATACACAGTGACTGCCATTAATACTCGGTTACATTTTTTAATGTTGAACTTTTATAATATTTCTAACATCCCAAGGAAAATGAAGTCGTTTGATACAATCGTCAATTTTAATGAAAGTCTCTCATCTTGAATCATAGATTCTACTGAGATACTGAGAACTGAGGGAAAGTGAAACTCGTCGAAAAGTTCATTCGTGAATCATTCATTTTATTTGCATAAAATTCGACACAGACAAGGAAGAACGGATAAATAACAACCAATCAATGTGTAAAAAGAGGAAAAGTGTGGGAACTACAAATAAAAGGAATTGCTCTAAACTATGCAATTCCTCTTAACAGATCAAACGAACAGATCCGGTGACAGACTGTCCCTGGTCGCGAAACTCGAGTGTGTGCCGAATTTCAACACAGACTGCGTCGCCACGTAACAAGACCGTCGGACGCATTCGTCCATCGTAAGGTCCGGATGATACGATTTGAAATACGCAAAAGCACCCAGAAACGCATCTCCAGCTCCCTGCGCATACATGGACGAATATTAATAAAGAATTAGTAATAAGATGACTAAAAGAATAAAAAGTTAATTAAGGATCGAGATATTCACCGAAAGAGGACAGAGCTAAGAGGAAAAAGCTAATAACCGTTTAATAGCCTGATCGATTTCGAATGAATTATTTAAATAATGATTAGGCTCCCCCAGACTATGTCCCCCAGGCGAACCGTTCGATCTTTACTTAATGTATCGAATACAGAACTAGTTGAAGGTGTTATAACTACTAACTACCAACCGATCAAGTCGTTCATGAAACATAGGTACTGGGAATATAATATTATCTAATAATGATTATAGAAGACGAAAAGAATATAATACTAGACTTCTCTACATTCCGAAATATTTTATATTAGCTGCAGTGTTACGAAAGTGCAAAATTTAATAATAACGCCAATATCTAATACGCTAATAATAACGTAAGCCTTTGAGTGGTCGTAAAAAAACGCGTACTGTATATTAAACAGGAAAAATCTGTTCAACATACTGTCGAATCAACAGGCTGAACAGATGTTGTAGGAACCAGCTTAACAGTCCTGTCCTCCCGAGAAGCGTAAGCTGCTCCCCGTTCTCCAAGGGTAAGGATCACCGTGTTGCAACCCATATCCAGCAAGCGGCCAATGGCTTCCTGAATACTCGATAATTCCTCAGGCAGCACCCCCGTCATAACTTCCGTCTATAAAGTACGCTTTTTAATATACAAATTCCTCGGAATAAATAAATTCCTCGGTTTCTTCATAATTCGGAAGTACCTCGGTCTCGTTGACGCAGAATACGTCACAGAGGCTCAGCAGTTCCGAATCAACTTTTGCCGTCGCAGGCGCCCCGTTCACAATTGAAAAACCTGTCGCAGCACAGTTTTCGTAACTAAACATGCTAATTCCATAAACGCGCGATATAATGTGCAACTAACCGTGGCCTTTGTAAAGCTTCAATGCATGTAAAGTGCTTTCTAAGGATGTCTCGAATTGACATAGTAGAACGGAGGCACTTTTAATCGTATCGGCCGCCGAGTCCACATGTTTGGTACTTAGCGACTCGTTTGCTCCGAGCACCGTTACTATGCTGTTCTCTCCTAAATTATCACGCAAAATTTTTTTTAACTCGAACAACCGACCCGAGTGTTAGAAAATCTACTTCGTTATTATAATATTGCGTGTCCCGTGAGAAGTGCTTTGAAAACCATTCAAGAACACGCTCCGGATTTTTAGATTTGAAATTACAGCTTACCATTGTCAGCAACTATAATATTTGCTATCCCACTGTGCTGGTCTTCTACTATAGAAATATTTGTAGTGTCTATATTCAGTTTCTTAAATATTTTTAAGTACTCCTGGGCATAAATATCGTAACCCAACTGTATAACAAATTTTCTTTTTAGTTTAACGTTAATCTAACATCGATACATTCGTTCGGTGAAGTTTCGTATTCGTTAATCAAGAGCACGGAGATATCATATGACGGCTACGAGAAATATTGATCATATTTACAAACGAAGTGCTCTTTGATCAAGTTTATGCAACATTTAGGTATTTAGATAAGAATAGTAATGTATCAATATTTTTTGTAGCCAGTATATCTTTCTCGTTAAAGTATCGAATAAAACTTTTTATATCATACGCAAGCTACGATTGTCGCAGAGGCACCAAGTTTGACAGCTTGTACACATTGATTAGCACCTTTCCCACCGTATTTTATTTCGAACTTTCTAGCAATTATCGTTTCACCAGCTTTCGGTAAACGGGGCGCAAAACTATAACATAAATGCATTCTAGCTGTGATAAAAGGTCTGATACTGAGATCAATTATTTTTCATTTGCGTTCCGTAGTTTGCTATAACGCATCTATAAAGTGTCTACGATTTAATATCATAAAATTTACAAATTATTTTAATATACCGCCACGGATCAGTCAATTTGAATAAGATCTTAGCTTGTAAAGATTTTAGAAATACATTTTTGTCTGATAACTAAAAAAATATTTTAATATAATTAAAATGGTTGTTGTTGCCATAATCTGTCGGTCTGTTTAATCTAACATTTAAATAATATAAACATTTCCATAAAATAGATTATTACATAACTTTCTATTTCGATATTATCGTCATATTATTATAAATCAATGCATGATTATAGTGTTACTAAGTTTCCTGAGAATAATGGATAATAAATTTTCGAGCAAGCAAATGAAATCGCGCTCGCGGTAAGTAATAATTACCACTTACCTAGTGAAATCGATCATACATGAGCCGACGACAACAATTTTTGAAAACATTTCTTTTTTAATTCGCTTGGTCACTAGGGTTATGAAACGGCAAAATATTGTTGGATTATGTAAGTAAAGTCTGCACGTGGACACTGTACTTTTAACGAGAAAACGCGAAAGACAGTGTTTATATAAACGAGCGAAGCTTCCTATCTTGTACTATCACAATTATCACGTGAACCATTTGATTGATAAACATTTAGCACCGTGCACATAACCTGCATATGTCTGTAAGTAGGAGCAAGGATAACCTTTAGTTTAGAGATAATGTGACAGAAATACAATACAATATTTATGGCAGATATTATAATTTTATTGTTATAAAAAATACACGTTTTAATATGTCACATACATATCTTCGTATCTCTTATCGTTCCATAATATATGTATATCATGATAGATATCGTTGAATCAAATTAACAAATTTCACACTCTATCCCTTATCATCACATTTTTAATTATAGATAGTAACAAAGTGATTGCAATTAAACAAGAAAGAAGCTAAAGGAAAGTCTTGACAATACTTTTTTTTTAAATCGTGAATCAACTGTGATGAACGTCAGATGAACGTATAAGTAGGAAAGGAAACGGTGTATAAAACTATTTCAGTGTCATCTATCGGCACAACATGTGAAAGAACTCAGTATTTAAAACATATATATATCATTTATCTGTCGTTGAACAAATTTCATTAACAATATAACAGCTTCGTATTTATGATGAAATGGTATGTATATAATTTATTAGAATCTTCTTATTATCATTTTCATCAACTTTAAACATCATCGCATTTGATATATATATATATATATATATATGCATATATATGTATATATGTTGTCAAACTTCGTTAATATTTATTTCATATTTAACAGAGTTCTTTGGCAATTTATTTATATATCGTAAAATTCAGAAGGAATTGTTCTTCTTTTTCTTTACTGTAATTAATATCTAATGTTTACACATAGGAATCAATGATAATCTTCGTTGGCTATCTATGTGACTATACATATGATTATAAGTACTGATTGTGATTATACAGGACTTGTATTACAATTATGTGTTACGGAATGCATTATTTGTTTTAATCGTGAACGAAGATTTCGCATTTCTTACGGTTTTCACTGGTTTCGTTAAAGAAAATTTGGGAGAGTGTTTAAATTGATTACGGTTGTACAGACCTCCGACTTCATTCTTGTAAACATTGTGTTTGGATTTAAGAAAGCAATATAGTATTGTTTTTTCCGTGCGTGAAATCTATTCAGATCTAATTTACGTGAGATATTCGATTAACGAAGCGTCGCAGAATATGTCAAAGCTTGAATAATGCGTATCTTTCATTGGAATCTGTATGGTATGGACACGACAGCCCTGGCTGGTACGTTTTACATTCTGCCATTAAGATTATTTTACATATTTAATAAAAATACTGTTGACATAATGTAACAATGTAAACACAAATCGTACCAATTGGAAATTGTTAGATAAATTGTTGCAGTTCCATGTAATCGAAAGAACTCGTTTTCTATATGATCTTAGAACCTATCATTTTTGTTATCCCGAGAATTATTGAAATACGATGCTATTAGAGTATAGTTTCATATTTTTCAACCCTGAATTTTCATTTAAACTTTACTTGGTCCGGCTTTAGCTCGATTCCCTTATTATGTTTTATATAGTGTAGAGGGAATACGAAGATCTTAGTTTTGTACGATTTGAGACTATAGGTAAGGTTATGATATTTTCTTTGAAGAAGCATTTTTCTTATGTAAAGCGTACGGATATACTACTTATAAAATATTGTTAAACATGTTAAAGAAATGAAATCTGATAAATCAAACTAATATTATTTTTATCTGCTGAAGATCTGTTATGGTAATCATTGTTCTCTCCTAATAGGACAATCCATGGTTCATTAAATAATTGGGACAATCTTGATGTTTTACCATGGAACAAATAGATGAAGTGAAAAGTGATATTAATAAAACAAACTCATTAATAGCGACAGATGTTGATAAAGAATTAAATACAGATGATGTAAAAGATGTGGCTCATGTTCCACAAGATTGTACAGACAATACAACTCAGGATCCTTCAACATTAAACAAATGTGATATAACAGACTCAGTGAAAGAAGATGATGAAGTGATAGAAACCACAGACAATGATGTGATCAATGAAGCAGATAACAATGATCCATGCATCACAAATGAAGCAAAAGAAAAACTTCAAATAGAGGATGTAAATCAATTAGCGGAAGTAAAAGTTCAGAGTAATTCTGAGTGTACACCAGATGCAATTTTGGATGAAGATGGTAAAAAGATGCCCAACAATGTTGAGACGGAACAAAATATTGAGGAACAAAATGATTCTACGGTGATGAATATAAATGCTGCTGATGACACTAACGCGCAGTGTCAAGCATTAATTAAATCACTTAGCCAGACTTTTGAAGATAAGGACCAATCGTTGCAAGCCACAGATGCAGATTTATCGAAACTGGTTGACGGTAACTCGGAAGTGATGGTGCTGACTGTGGAAACTATCAATGATTCAAATGAGGCCACGGAACAAAATATTGTTGTGACTGTTCATGAAGAGGATCCCTTAGCAGGCAATCAGAGTGTTGTTTCTGTAAAACACAAGGAGATGAAGGAAACAGATGTGGTCAATGAAGAATTTAATTTAATAGAGAATGATGGAACCATAATAGAAGTGATTGCGACAGAGATTGTAGATACAGAAATTCCTGATGCTCGTACTCAGGAGAAAAGGCAGGATGTAAATCACACTGATTCAGAAAAAGATTCCGTAACTTCTACTACTCCAGAAGTGGTTAACAATCCAGAGGTTGTAGATGATACTAGTATTAAAGACGAAAGCATGCAAAAGGACTGTAGAAAGAGGTATGAAGAGAAGTCGATCGGAAAGAGTAAGAAAATCAAGACTGAAGTTTGTGATAGCCTACATAAGATTAATATGAAAAAAGAAATTACTTATGATACAATTGTCTCGCCTGCACCTAAAGATAATGCGAAGGAAGGAAATTTATTTACAAGCGAAACGAACAAAGTGAGCCCGATCAAGAAAAGAAGCGTGATTCAAGATATTTTTGATGACTGGGGCGACGAGAATACAGAAGACGACAATCATTCTGTATCCAAAGCACCGGACACCGTGGAGATAGAACTGAAAAGTCTGCTGAATGAAACGAAGTCGCAAACAATCGAAGAGGGTACAGTTGTATTGGTCGAAGAAGAAATCACCTGTATCGAGAAGGAATCTGTCGAGGAAGTGGAAAGTATTTTCGAAGCTGTTAAAGAAGAGAAGAAATCACGAATGCCAAAAGACGAACAGGATGACAGCCAAAATGTGAAGAAACAACATAGTCAAAGTAGTATAATAAAGTCACTCAAGGACAAAGTTAATTTATCTATGTCGCAAAGTGTTGGGAAGTCTCCGAACGACACACCGGTCAGTCGTGGCCGTAATTTAACGAGTCAAATAGCATCGTCAGCGGAAGTAACGAAAGCGCTAAAAGAACGACTTCGTGAGAAACAGAAGATGGAACCTCTGCAGCCCGATATATTTTTTGTTAAGAAACTAACGCAGAGATTGTCAAGCAAATTAACTGGTGGCTCGGGGAGTGTCTTGCCGGCGCTTATACCATTGTCTCAATCTCCTAACTGTGATAAGAAAGCGACAGAAGATCTAAGCGACACGGACACCGGTAAAGAAAGTAACGCGGACAATAAGGAATTGCTGGCAATACTGGAAGGCGATGTTGATCCTGACTGGTCTAATTTGAAACCACCAACTTTGACAGAAGAAGGAAAACGTCCGGTGAAAGTCGATCAAAGTGGTTACAATACACCGCCAAAACTCGACCCCTTGGTCGAAAGGGAACTGGCGTTGAAACAACTTCTGGAATTACCGGTTGCAACAGGTAAAAATGCGAAAAAGAAGAAACCAGTTAAACCTACGCCTAGTAAAGCGTCCAAAGAAGTAAAGGCAAAGCCAACTGACGCAGAGAAGGACTTCGTGAAACAGGAAGTTGAAATTGATACGATAAATGACCCTAACGAATCTGCGGAAGATTCAAGTTCTAATCACGTTTCAGCAACTGTCGAATGTCACACTGGAGAGGAGAGCACGGAGGCGCAAGATGCACGATTAGATGAGTCGAGATCGGGTAGAAAACGAAAACCCACAGAGAAGGCCAGAGAGCATGAAGAACAACAAAGTATTGTGAAACGGCAAAAAGTATATAAAAGCAAAGTACCGTCACCTAAAAAATTGCCTCCGCAAGCAAATGAAGTACAAGTTGATAATGATTCAGCAACCGAGAATCATGTACCTAAGGAGACTAATTTACCTGTGAATGAAAAAGAAGTTGATGATGCGAAGACGGACAAACAAATCACAAATAATAATAATAAAGTGACGTCGAAGCCTCCAAAACAAAATCTCAATAAAAAAAATCCTTCTATGCCCAAACGAAATATAGTGGTGAAAAAGATATTAAGGCAAAACATGCCTTCGAACAAAAAGCCCGCTGCTTTGAAATCAAAATTGAATGCCTCGCCGAAGAAATCAGGATCGAAGGCAGCCTCGAAATCCAAGAAAGCTACGAAGAATAACAGTGGAGAAAGCAAACCGAAGAAGAAGTTTATAAACGAAATAGACAGATTACTTCTGGACGAGGGCGTTGTGAATTTACTGTACGAGGTGGAGCAATCTGATAAGAAGAAATTACTTTCGAAATCTCAAACGAAGCAGACCTACATGGACCTACAAAAGGTGCAACGCGAACTTAAGCTTAGGAAGAAGTTAGTACGTAACGCCGTATTAAGATTACGGACATCGACGACCGATGTATCGAAATCTCCACGATCTAAAAGAGCTGCGGTGTACGTAAGCGATGGACCAGTGGAGAAGAAGGTCAGTGATCAAGGTCCATTGCCGAAGCCACCGACGAATTTACCAGCGCAAGAGTTTATTTTACCGGCGAAAATAAGAAATGCGGCGGATGCGTCTGTTATAATTAGGAGGCATTCTTCCAGTTCGTTTTCCAGCGCGTCTGGAAGTCCTAGAGTTAGTATAGACTCACAGGATAAAATTGATGTTGCCAAAGTCGAGGAAAGTGGGACTCATAGTTTAAGATCCACGAAGAGACGAATTTCGCAAGAGGAAAAACCGAATGCGAAGAAGAGTAAAAAGAAGGCTGTGCAGAAGAACGACCCGATAGATGTTAGCGATACTGGGAAGGATAAAGCGGCCTCTTCTGCACGTCCTAGTAAAAAGTTGAATTCAAAGAAGCCAGAGAAGAATTCTAGACAAGTCGAAACAGATGAGACCAGCACTGGTTTTGGCAAAGTTGTCACGCGGTCGAACGGCGCAGCTACAGGTAAGATAACGTCCAATACAAAAACAACTGCGAAGCACAATGTTATGTTTCCTAAAACGAGCGAATCATATAACATTGAAGTCTTTTCTAAAGGAGAAGATGAACTTTCTGCCTGCCTTGCAGCAGCCGCAAATGCCCTGTCAGTAATTAACTCAGGGAGTCGGTCTGCAAATTCAACGGGAAACCGTAAGAATAAAGGTGAAGGCAATGCATTAAGAAAGAAATTGAAAGCCTTTATGTTCCCATAGTGTTTAGCATTTTCTTAGCAAATCGTGATATTGATTAAACAATTATTTAAAACATGAAATTCAGTGCTATAATTTTTCAGCGAACATTTTTAAGACGCTAGAATCGGATATCGGCAAAACGAAATCAGATATTCGAAGTCAATTCAGCAATAAGGAAATAAATGTACGTCGACACGGGAATCTGGTGCAATTAATATTAACACCGTCGGCTACGACGAAAACAAGAAATGCTCTCACACTTCCGGTAAGAGGAACGATGAGGAGAATGCTTTAGTTAATGTATCCATTTCTTTTAATGAATATGTAATTCTGTTTAGGTAATGCAAGAATTTCGTGAGGCGTTATCAATCCTGAAGAAAGACGACGATTGTAGGGTAGTCCTGCTAACGTCAACGGGCAGTAGTTTTTGCGAGGGTCTCGAACTATCTCCGTTGCTACAAGTGAACAAGGAAGAACGAAGGAATCAAGCAGAACAATTGGCGGACGCGGTTAAGTGCGTATTTATTATCACTATTTTATTATTATACTATTTTTATCTTTATGTAATATAATTAAAACACTCCGCTTTTCCGCATACAGAGATTTTATTAAATGTTTGGCGTCGTTTAACAAACCCATCGTCGCTGGCGTTCAGGGTTCTGCAGTCGGGCTTGGAGTAACAATGCTACCTTTGTTTGATCTTGTAATAGCTAGCGACAAAGCTACGTTTAACACTCCCTATGGAAAATTAGGACAGATCGCTGAAGGTGCTGCTGTTTTTACTTTGTCGCATATATTAGGAAGTGCAATTGTAAGTAGAGTATGTTAATGCACGTATAGTCGTTCACAGATAATTTATTTAGGAAACCAATTAATTGAATGGTTTGAATTGCAGACGAGTGAATTACTAATAGGTGGCAGAACTTTAACTGCTAGCGAAGCTCTAAGAGCTGGTCTCGTTACTCGTGTCCTTTGGCCCGACAGATTTCAAGTCGAATTGTTACCGAGTCTAAAAGCTATGAGCGAACAGTCCTCGCAGGTACGTGTACGAGCGTGCATTACTTATCTTAAAACGGAAGACAGTAGCCCTTGTAAGCAGGACCAGAATAAAATAGTTCTTGAACATTTTCTCTCTCCCTATCCTTAAAAATGCATAAATGATTTTCTGGGCAAGTGCATCTATAATATGTCGAGTACAAGTCAGATCGTATATGGCCACAAAATTCATAAGAGTAGCACATCCTTTTCTGCGCATGCATAAAAATGTAAATTTTATATGTTTTCTAAATTCCTGTTTTTGATAAAATGTTTATCAGTCTGGAGAGAATACCTTTACACACTTGAACGTTTGTGTGATCAGATCATTATTTCCATACGTATATTTCTGAAGTCGCCAGTAGTGTGATTCCGGGCAAATACAATTTACAGTTGCATTTTGCGGTATCAAATAAGAATTATTTCTATCGCTTTTCCCATAAATTTTTATCGCTTCTTGCGTGTGTGTACATGCATCCAATTCTGCTATTGAAATACAAAACTGAAAGAAAAATTAACTGATGTATGAGCATTGTTTTGAAACTCGTAAATTTCCGTGTACCTCAATGTGCGATCTGTTATTAAGCGAAACAGAGGTATTTCCAAGCTCTTTTGTCCATTGCCAGGGACATTCTTTTCCATTACGACAGCGACAAAGTCTTTCTGTTAAACTAGATGCCCAAAATCGGTTGTGAATCACACTACACGCTTCGTTCATTTCACATTCGTGCAAATCACTTTCCCCGTGAATCTGTGTCAACATGTACGTGTTAAATACTCGACCTTACTTCACAGTTTTCTGTAACAATTAGTTTTACGTACACCATCGAAGTATCTGAATGTGACGTTACTCGACTTGCTGTTGATGACAACATAAGAACATTCAGTTGCCACGAATAACAAGAAGCAAGTTAAAATAAACATTTTTATAGACGTAACTACACCAGCTCATCGAATAGGCGTTAGAATAATAACACTAAAACGTTCTACCACTGTGCTCGCATTGACTCGCATGTACCGGACTGATAAATATTTATATCATACATCCTGAATTTTGTTCATTTACATATACATACAGAATCATCGTTTTATTTATTCAATTTTCAGTCTATGGAAGCGACGAAGACGTTGCTGCGCCACAGCCTGCGTAAAAAATTGGACGCGGCATTAGAGTCGGAAACGTATCTGTTGATCCAGCATTGGTGTTCTGCGGAGTGTCAGACCGCCATAAAGGCTTACATCGATGGGAAGATCCAGTAAAACTATAAAAACGGTAATAACTACGTTTTTTCTGTACTAACACTATAGTGGGAATGCAAACAAGAATATCAAGCATGAACGAAAGTCTCTTTGATGAAAAATTACAACCCAGCAATGATATCGATCTTTTTAATACATATAACAACTTGCAAATTGTAAATACATTTGTCGTTTGTTACATATAATTTGTATAATATAGTGTTGTACAATACATTGTCTGCTTTAAGAAAAGAAAAACACATCGTTTTTAAAGTTAGTTTTCACATTTGTCGCATATCAAGATGAACACCGTACTAAAGATACAATTATATATGTGCTACAGATACCCAACTGATTAGAATCGGAGTACTAACATCGTGTTGCGACGCAACTGTCTGTATCGTAAATTGGATGTGTGGATTAATAATTAATGTATGAGGTACGTCAAAAAGAAAAGTCACAATATTGGTGTACCATTTTACATCAATCAACGCACGACTATTTTCAATTAACTTGTAGGATCAGAATTGTTCAGATGGACTATTTTAATATTAGGTGATTTATTTAGATGTATAGATTTAAGTATGTGCGCGCACGACCGCGCGAGACGAGATGTCTCGCGTTATTATTTTAAATAATTCTTAAATTGTGCTTTGTATAAAAATATATAAAATTTGTATATGCATAATTTGATACAGAATCGAAACGAAGAAGAGGATAAACGACTTCCCGGTCGTTTATTTTAAATCGTGGCATAATTGCATTATTTGAAAGAGTATATACGCTCCGCATCTCGTCTCGCGTGTATATAAATATAAACTTTCCATAGCATACCATAATTGTATAGAGTATAATAAAGACTCGACCATTGTAAACATTGGAGTGGATTTGTGTTCTTTGCACAGACGTCGGGAAACTTTGAACAGAACGTGATTATTTCGATTACACTCTCGAAATTGATCTACGATTATTTTATACACTTAATGCGAATTTGTGCCTTGGTCAATTTATAAAAAGAAAAAGAAAGATGAGTGAAAATAGGCGTAGTGGAGAAAATATTTGTATAATTACACGCTGAGAAAAGTACAAGAATAATTGACTGATTGATTAAAATTAGGATATGCCAAATTGTTTTCAGCTAATTCTACTATCTTTTCGTTGATATAAACGCGTATAATGCATCACTGTAATTTGTTTAAAAGAATAGTCTACATCGATTACTTGTAGTACCATTCGTGTATGTACTTGAAATAACGAAATTCTATGGATAAGTGTGTTATATGTACAGAACTTAAAATTTGATCGTGCATTTACATTGGATATATTTTAATGAGATTAGAATGTATATGATACATATTTTATCGTGATCGATCGAATCGTGATTAAAAAGGTATGAAGGTATTTTAAAAGTATGCATATTTATGATAGGATAGTAAAGTGTATTGGAACAAGGTGAAGCTGTGAGCCTTTAACACGTTTCGTGCCATTTATGGTACATGTTACACTTGACCTTCAGGCCACGTGTACCATAAATGGTACACGTAAGAATATTTATTTAATGCGCGAAACATCAAACGGCCTGAATGACAAGACGGGCAAAAACGACTTTGCACGGGACGTGTTAAGGACTATAGAAAGGGCCATGAAATAAGACTCAAGGCAACATTGAGAAATTTCATTGAATACTGTTCAAAAACACGGAGTACGTTGTAAAGAATACAGTCGCTCTTGTACAAATGTTACACATGTAAGAATAAGCCATTCTAAAACATATTGTATTATCATTGAATATAAAGCCCATATACAAATATAAAGGAAATATTCACAAGCCAATTTCACGTTTAGTATGTATTAAAAATATATGATCACCTATTCGTGTTCATTGCGTGCGCTGGCGCACGTTAATATTTATTTATGTAGTATATATTATATTTTGAAATAGTAGTAAAACATCTTTATAACTGCATTATAATAATATTAGTATCTCTTTTTATCGATAGGCAACTTTAGGCATATCTTTATAAACGCGAATTCACATACACCGAGAAGTTAAAAAGTTTTTCAAGTTATAAACATCATAAAACAATTAACAAAAACTTTATTAATCGTTTTACAAGGGCAGCTAGTTCTCGTAGGAGTCGGCAGTCTGGATATATTTTTCATCAGAAAAGCCCTATTTCTTTTTTAAGGTTCACTTGTTTCCAAACGGGAAGTTCTTGAAATTCTTCTTGAGTCATGCCTAATAGTTCCTGTTTTCGAGCATTGAAAATATACATCAATCGTATTTTCCTTTTATAAGAAAGGTTGCATGGAACTTACTTGAAAATGTTGTTGAGATAAATACAATTCCAAGTGTGTAGGATCAACCCCTTCTGGTAGTGGTCGTTGTAATAATTGAGCCGGAGGATACGTACTCTGTGTTAATCGAACCAATTCGCTTTCCACGGTCAATACTTCTCCAGAATTTCGTCCATCCTGTTAAGAGATAATTTATTTACTCTCCTCTATCGTGATAACATTAATAAATCAGGATGTACCTCTATATTTAATTCAGCGATGTCGTCGCGATACGTCCACGTAGGAAATAAATTTATAAATTGCAAAGGCTCGAGACCAGCCCAGACTAGATAAATTGGAAATTTATTGGTTCCTGGATGAATCTTTTGCCAATATTGCATCGCCATTGTCATGGCCGCTCTTCTTTCGGCTTGCCATCTAACAGCCTTGCTACCGGATTGATCTTCCGCGCCCGTGTTTGGCCACCAACCTTGCCATATCCATAACTCATTTTTGTTGTCCAACAAAAATAGTGCTAGAATTCGTGATATTCAATTAATTTTTATACACGATTACTAATTAAAAAGAAAGCTATTTGTTCTCGAGAATATTTCGTACGCTACCTGGTTGATGAACTTGATACAGATCCTCCTGCAGGAAAGGAAAAGGAGTCGGCAAAGAAGCACGATGAGGACACAATATCTCTACAGATTTAAATTCTTTAGAAACGCTTGACAAGTGAAACAGTCTTGGTGTATATTCATGTAGTTGGTCCTTCGCTAACGATACGTACAACTTCTTGTTCATGCGTCCCAATGCTATACAATAAAACATCGCTGTTATGAGTATACTTTACAATCAATTATCAAAGTAAGATTTTTACATACCATTGATGACTTCGTCTGGTTCTGATCCTTCTTCAGTTTCAACTATTTCTATATCTTCTTTCGAGGATAAACCTGTTTCTTGAGGCCGATTTTCTTTTAATTTTGTAGCTGTACTAACTGCATTCTAGAAATAAATCATGCCCAACTGCTAGACTATTATATTTAAATTTTATACCTTGAGATAGGGATGGGACACGATGTGAAAAAGTACCTTTCGGATATGCGGTGAAGCGTTAGATCCATGCCACACGTAAATTTTACCATCTTTTAAATCTAACAATAATAGACAACCTCTGCTCCGTAATTGACGAGTGCTACAAGGAATCTCCGTTAAAGACACCTCTGACTCTAAGGTACCACGACATATGTACAATCGCCATCGATCGTCACTTCTCGAATTCGTTTTCTTGCCGCTATGTACAATCATCCTCCCGGAAAATAGATTCAAAAATGCTGCTGGTTCATGCCCTTGGACTACGCGAAGCTGCAACCAATATACTTATAAATCTGGGATATTCGGACAACAATTTTCATGCAAAGTGATTACCTGCGGTGCTTGATCATTATCCAATTCGATAGTCAGTAATGCTGCGGCACCTTGTTCATTCAAAGACGCATTCTGTCCTTGCCAGATAAAGTATACTGAACGATCGCGTCCCTTCGCAGAATGTTTCGACGGTAATCCACTAAGTTCGCGACCTACAGAATTAAATCCCATTTACTATATTATAAAGAATCTTTAAAAATCAATATCTAGTGTTTAACTCAGTTTGTATTTACCAGTGATAGTAACAGAGTACATCCAATGCACGATATAACTATCTCCAGAATAAAATTGTCCAACAGACGAATCGTCTAGAAGGGTGTGCGAGAACTCATCGATGTGCCACACTTTTATACCCGTTGTTGTGACGATAGTCTGTTTCATTAACTGAAATGTGATACACAGTGCAGATGTGTTATTTGTTTGCATTGTAAAAAGAAAATTGCTAGACGAAATGATACTATGCTATTACCTCATCATCATACCAACCAGTGCCTCGACCCAAATGACTTCCCTCAAGTATCAGATCGACCGGAGTAGTATTTTCTTCTAATAAATTATCGATATTGCACACTTCGATAGTTATACTGCCGTCAACTTGTTCTTTGCTCTCTGGCCTACCGCGGACTCGTATTATACCAGAGACGTTTGGCCAATCCAGGAATTTCTCTCTGAAAAGTATCGTTTCGACGTGTTGGGTCAACTTGGCAAGAATACACCAATTGGGCCTGACTTCGGCAGCTTTTAAGTCCGTTTTTGTCGCGACGCGTCTACCTATCATAGACGCGGCGGTAATTGGGCATACGGCGCATTCCGAATAGTCGTATCCTTCTTTCCACAGTTCCGTGGCAAGATGCGTCGCTAGTCTCTTTTTATCAGCCGAAGCTCCTTTACCACTCCATATATACATCTCGCTACCAAAATCAAATACCAGCACCTTATAAAAAGAAATGCGATTGTTTATAAAATGAAGTTAATTTAAAAAATGTTTATATCGAATAACTCACTTTATTTGGATCTAGCATTTCAATTTTTGGTATAGCACCCCAATATTTTTCGAGAGGTACCAGTTCCTCCCCTTTTATTTCGTACACCATGTTCGTATCTATCATAAATGTTTCATAAAGTTCATCCTCGTCAGGATGTCCACCGTCTATAACTATCATTAACATGACAATATTAAATCACTATGTAAATTCATTTCTTTGTAGAATAGAAGCTATCTTTTACCATCTACGTTTTCGTTCTCGACGCCAAGATAATTCCAAAACTTTTCCAATTGATTCTTCGTACAAGTTATCTTATCTTCGTTAATTGTAATAACTTGAAATGTTTGGCAACCGAGATCTTTATTCTGTTGAATGCTCAGTGCAATCTCAGCACCACGAGCTTTCTCAATAACATTACAATACTTTCCAATGTAATTATAAACCTGGATTAAAAAATGTAAAATAGATACCACAATTATCTCCATATTGGTCAATATAACATTGCTCTGCTTACTTCTGATTTCGTTACTAGGACAAAATTATCCCCACTATTCATACTTTCTGCGACTGGTTCGACCAATCTCACTTGTACGTGCCTCCTGCCCTTGATCAAAATCAGCATTAAATCTTTGTACGGCTGTAGTCTATTCGTTGATGTATTCGTTTCTGCTGTATTTCTTAGCGTTATATTGCTAAAGTCTTCGGTAGAAGCTAGGCCAGCTAGAGCTTCCATAGCTAACGACGAATTTTTCGCCACTACAAAAATAAATAATATTTCTATCGGAACAAATTAATGATAACCAGCCGAAACTTACATTTCTCGACGTTTAGTTGTTTCATTACTCTCTCTGCGATATCAGTCCGCACTTCGGTATACTCTAACTTTAAGTCGGTACGAGCCGCAAGCGTTTTGAGTGGATTTCTAGATACGAATCGCCGTCGTTTGAAGCGTATGTTCCGTTTCTGAACCAATCTGGAAAAATAGAAATCCATAAAAACCGATATTCAACATTCAATTAGCAGATCTGAGATTAGGTAAAATTACAATTCGGATTGCGATGAAATCACATCAAAATCGGACTCGTTTAAATCAACAGATTCAGCCTCACACTTTTCTAATGAAATCCCAGTAAAAAAGGAAGTGAACGTTTCATCGTCTATCTTAGGTACCGAAACGACGGGCATAACGTCCTTTTCGGTTTTCGTTTCTTCACCTGTGAAACATTCATGTTCAAATAGATCGTTGGTATTTAAGGAAGTAGAACTACGAAAATTGATTACTGACCACTGTCATCGCTCGTAGGTTCCGAGAAGCTTGCTGGCAGTTTAATTCGACACTCCTTGTTGGGACTAGTTGGTGTAGAGACAGTATCCTTAGAATACCCTGAAAATAGACTACGCATTTCCGACATCTCCCTTGGAGGAATGTACCCGATTTAAAAGTAAAATTATGACAGTCGGAGTTACCTTTTTTTGCCTTAAACCGTTCAGGACGAGGTGTTTTTTTCTTTCTGTCCTTGACTTCAATTAACGGCGATGACGGAGCTGGATCAAGTTTCTCCGGTTGTTCTACTTTCATTTTTCCAGCTACTGTGAACTTTGTTACGTCTGAGGCAGCTATCCTCTTTTTCCATCCTTCCGTCGCGGATTCTAACTTCCCAAGACAATCGGCAAGTACACCTTGCTTGATGCTTAGGTCCTCTTTATTGGACGAATTGGCAGACGCTCCGTCCTAATTGTTCACTTTGATAGTAAATGCACGAAACCATTTCACAACAAGTATTTTACAATAATTTACCGACGAATTGGATGACTCAGGCGCGATACGTCTTTTCCAATTTGTATTTCCGCTACGTTGCAGCGCAGCCAATCGTTCCGCGATACTCATACCCGGACCATCAGTGCTATCTACTGTTGACATTGTCTGCGTTGCACTACGACACAATCCTGGAAGAGGTACACCATGCTGCTTTCGAATTGTTGCACTATTTGATTCGTTTTCGTTGATTTTGTTACCAATCGCATGATGGCTGGCACTCTTCAACAATGAAGCATACCTATAAGTAGTTAATTGTAACACATATATACTTTCAAGCATATATATGTTCTTTAACATAAAGTAATCTTATCAGTAGCTGTAGTAATAAATAAAAGGCTCGACGTCACGAATTTGATAAGACACAAGTGTTAAAATAACGAAAATTTTTGTTATAATTTACAAAAGGAAATATTCGAATCTTTGTTAATATCTGATAAAAGCTCGAACGCATTATTATTTTCTGTTTAATATTTAAATTTGCAAATATATTAATGTAAAATTTGTTACCTGGTCGGTTTTTGAAAAATAGGATGACCATTAGGAGGCACAGCTCCGTCGTTTACGTTACATGCGTCATGACTTACAGAGGATGTCTCACCTCCAGTAGCCTGAGGTGTTTCCTCACGTTTCTTAGATGCAGTAATGTTATCTGTGTCATCTAATGCACATTTGAATCTCGTTCTATTTAATTCACCCTGAGTACTACGTTTGTAAAGAGGCATCGCATACTTTTGTTTACTCTCGTATTGCCTACCTTCGGTACGATCGTCCTTTTCATTGTAGGCACGATTTAAATCATACTGCGCGGAGTAATTTGTTTCCGTTACATTCTCTTCCTGTATGTACAAAATCTTATATCAGAATTATGCCCATTCCTTCCCTCGCCGAACTTTTTTATTTACCTTGCTCTCTTCCTCCAATTTTAAATTACATTTCAATATAGAACGCGGTGCAGTGTCACAATTGTCAACCATGCGTTGTTCCAATTCCTCGGATTCCTTTTTAAGTACGGATTTTATTAGTTTCATGCCCTCGAGTTCAGGGCTCTTCGCACGCGGTGCGTCATTCGCGTACGAACCTATGGATTTCAGAATGCTTTTCGGTGAATCACCTGCAGGAAAATTTATTCGAAAATTAGTCATTTATGTCATGACAACAGGTATTACAGTAAGACTTACCAGCATCCATCAAGCATTGATTCAAACTATTTAACGGAGATATTCGAGACGCAACCTCGACTTCTTCGGACGTAACCGGTTGCGTTTTATAACGAGCAGCTGGCCTTCTTCGTGGCTGCCGCTCCGACGACGTATTATTCGACACTGAACTTTTTCCAGTATCGATCTTCTGATTAAACAGGCGCACACGTTCCGCCAAGCTCAATTTAGAGGNCATTATTATTTTCTGTTTAATATTTAAATTTGCAAATATATTAATGTAAAATTTGTTACCTGGTCGGTTTTTGAAAAATAGGATGACCATTAGGAGGCACAGCTCCGTCGTTTACGTTACATGCGTCATGACTTACAGAGGATGTCTCACCTCCAGTAGCCTGAGGTGTTTCCTCACGTTTCTTAGATGCAGTAATGTTATCTGTGTCATCTAATGCACATTTGAATCTCGTTCTATTTAATTCACCCTGAGTACTACGTTTGTAAAGAGGCATCGCATACTTTTGTTTACTCTCGTATTGCCTACCTTCGGTACGATCGTCCTTTTCATTGTAGGCACGATTTAAATCATACTGCGCGGAGTAATTTGTTTCCGTTACATTCTCTTCCTGTATGTACAAAATCTTATATCAGAATTATGCCCATTCCTTCCCTCGCCGAACTTTTTTATTTACCTTGCTCTCTTCCTCCAATTTTAAATTACATTTCAATATAGAACGCGGTGCAGTGTCACAATTGTCAACCATGCGTTGTTCCAATTCCTCGGATTCCTTTTTAAGTACGGATTTTATTAGTTTCATGCCCTCGAGTTCAGGGCTCTTCGCACGCGGTGCGTCATTCGCGTACGAACCTATGGATTTCAGAATGCTTTTCGGTGAATCACCTGCAGGAAAATTTATTCGAAAATTAGTCATTTATGTCATGACAACAGGTATTACAGTAAGACTTACCAGCATCCATCAAGCATTGATTCAAACTATTTAACGGAGATATTCGAGACGCAACCTCGACTTCTTCGGACGTAACCGGTTGCGTTTTATAACGAGCAGCTGGCCTTCTTCGTGGCTGCCGCTCCGACGACGTATTATTCGACACTGAACTTTTTCCAGTATCGATCTTCTGATTAAACAGGCGCACACGTTCCGCCAAGCTCAATTTAGAGGGGTCGAACTCGTCATCGGTCGTATTCAAGTTATCGTCCGACAGACTAGATTTCCTACCCAACGTGGCGTTACGTTTATTCTGTAGCACCGCTTCTTGCACCTCTTGGGAAGTTACCGGCTGAGTGTTAAACCTGTCGCTTCCTTGGCTCTTACGTTCTCTGTATCGTTGTATGCCACGTGAACCTTTACACTGCGCTTTTTGTGTCAAGCTATCATTCTCCTGAGAATTAGCTTTCTCCTGCAAGGCTCTGAAATGCAATGCCATTTTGGAGACGCTGTTTCTGCGATGTATGCCGTTAGTTTCGCCGCCTTTTTCTTCGTCGACTGGTTTGCCTTCCGAAAACGACGCTTCATTGTTTGTATACTCTCTCCTACTCATTCTAGAGGAATCTGGAATATTATTATCAATAATACTATCTACAGGAAGTCCATGTGAAATCACTATGCTCCCGTCTTCGTTTTTGTGAACTGCGACAGTTTGCTTCTCTCTATCGGCGACGTTCCCTCTCGTTAGACTGCAAACAAACGCAATAATAGTTTGTTAAAATGTATTCCAGGATTTTTGACAGCATATTGTTTTAAGTTTCATGCAATGTAAAAGCAGATTTCGATCACTAACGTAGATGTATGCACATAAGGATATTCATGAAATGCATCTGTTATTAATATTAAATTTGTGTCTGATCTTCTTTAAAAAAGGAAGACTATACTACCTCGAATCGGGACTAACGTTTAGACAGACGTACAGGTTGTGTGCATGTTCCGAATCTGTGTTTTCAGTAGCTTTCAGAATTGCTAGGTGATCTATAATTAAACTTGGCACAGATTCAAAGTCTTGCCAAAGTTACATATTACTATAGAGAGTAAAAGCATAAACAAATGTGCGCTAAGAAATTATAGAAATTGGTAATATTGCTAGTCAATTCAGAACCGTTTAATTAAAAATATGCCACGTGACTTTGAAGCATTCCTGATGAGAGGAAGATAAAGAAATCGTCTTTGCAAATGCGAATAATGTCTTCAAAAAAAGACTGAACAGTCTGCTTTAAAATGCATGCTTGAAAATATCGTTCAGCATAGAAAAAGCATCTTTCTATTCTAAACAATGTTAATCTTTTATAGCTCGTCAACGCTACCTGTACAACGTGTCACAAGGAAGGGTAGAAGTATTGGCACTCTCGTCACCCAGAGAAAGGTCTGTTTTTAAATAGATACTACTGGTTGTTAATTTCACTTGCGACTTTTCTTCCGACGCGTCGGTCACGGATAACAATTCAAGAGATCTTCGTTTGTTAAGTACACCGGTGAATTCGTTGGAAATATTGGAAGGTTGCATATGGCCCAATGATTGTGCCCGTTTTCTCAAAAATAAATCTGCTGGCTCTGTGGTAGATATATCGTCACTAACAATTGTTTCATTACACAAGTTTAAACGGACTCGCGATTCGTTGTCTCTATTACCAGGTTGCTTCAATATAGGTCGTACAGGATCGTTATCCAAGGGCAGGCTCGTTCTACCTTGTAGAGTACGGCTTCTGAGCATCGACAACTTTTTCGGCGAAGTCGATTCTGTCTCGTAGTTACATTCGTCCTGCGAGTTCTTCCGTGCACACTTCAAAATAGTCTTTTTCGGTTTATCGTCGTGCTCGTCCGACTCCGTACTCGATTTCTTTTTCAATATCGGTCGTGGCTCTAAAGAGGGTGGATCGCTACCGAACGATTCTTCCCTACTGTGCTTTTTCTTTAGGATCGGCCTCACCTCGGAACTATCAAGTATTTCGGGAGTGCCAGCACTTGTTGCATCCGTTGTAATGGTCACGTGATGATTAACAGCGGTTGTTCGTTGGGTACTTGTGGATTTTCTTTTAAGTATGCCCTGCGGTTCGGCGGAACCGACTTGCCTGTCCTCTCGATCGTCCTCCCGGGACGATTTCCGTTTCAATATGGAAGTAGGCTGAGGATCCGGGCTCTGATCTCTTTTAATAATCTCATCCAACGACGACCGCCTCTGATTTTTCAATATTGGCCTAAATTCAGAGCACGCATTGTCGGTGCCTGAAATGTCCGGTGAACAACTGCGCCGACGAAGTATTTCACTTTCGTCCAAACTACTGCGCTTTTTTAAAATACCGTGCCTCTTACGCGTTGGTTCTCTCACAGACGGTGAAAACGTTACGGGCAAAACTGTGTGATTGACGGCAGTCGATAAATTTTGGCCCGTATCACCGTCCGATATTTTATGCTTAAGTATCGACACCGGCGCGTGTTGGTAATTCAACGGTCCATCTTGAGGATGTTCCTCGCTGGACCTCTTCAAGATTGAACCTCGTCTCGGTGATAATTGCAACGCACGCGCACTATTCATGCTATTTTCTATACTAGTAGAAGAATCTCCTTGGCATGCTGTATTAGATAAATGATTCTCCAACCGTGGTCCATAATTTGTAGGTAGATTCGCGTGTGATTTAAGTCTTTCTACACGTTCTATCGCTGATTTCGTTAATGCCGTCAACGCATCTACTCTGCGCGAAACTTCTGAATCGCTATGCCCGCCGCTATCGAACAATCACATGGAACAGTAGTTTCGTGTCTCAGGAAAGACAATGAAAATACCAAGAAATAAAATTACCTGTTAATTCGTTGCGTGGTCGACTGTTTAGCGGTAACAGGGGAGTTTACCGAAGGCAATGTATAAGCTTTTGAATAATTTTCTTTAACTCTCTGGCCAACGACTTTCGACCCGACAAACGTCTTTTTACCTAAATTAATTGCCCGATTACTAGAATTTGAAGTGGATATTGTATCAGATATGTTACTTTGTTTATTTGATTGTCTTCTGGTGTGTCTGATGTTACTTTCAGCTAAAATCCAGACAATGTTAACAAGATAGACAAAGTGCAAACATAGACGGCGATGATCTTCGATTACTCACACTGATTCGAACGATCCACTGTAGTTTCCATATTAAGCGAACGATTTAGATACGATTTTCGCTTGTAGCTTTTATCCCTCTCTCGTACCGAATTCGTAATACTACTATTACTCGATACCGAATGTTCCTGCACAACATTGTTCCATACATTATGTAATACTAATGCATATATTTCCATAGTCGTACTAAATATAACTGCTTACATCTTTCACTGAAAAACTAGTACTAGGTTGGAGACCCAAAGGTGTAGAACTTTCTGACATACCTAATCTCCTTGACAACACTGTACCACCTGCACAAACAGCGAACTAATTGTAAAAGAGTGTACAGATTAATTTTTCTTAAATAACTGTTAGTATCACTTACCATTAGGCGATATAATTGATGCAGCACGTAATCTCGAAGCCTTAGTTTCACGAATGGGTGCTGCTTTGTGTAATGTAAAGTTCTTATTACCCTCTTTACTTTCAGATCTTGAAATCAGTCGACCATTCTTTTCCAACATGGAGCTGCGGCTTTTATTCTCTGTTACAAGAAACATTGAAGTATAATGCATATATCTTGAAGGCCATTTTTTAACATTTGTTCTCTTGGGCATCATTAGTAAATATTTAAATTGCAGAATATAAGTTTCTTAACATATATTTAGAATGTTGTTTGTAAAACACTTACTGCTCACAGTATATGATGTTATATTCTTCTTAAGCGAACATGGTGTATTCTGCTGATTATGATTTGTTTCATTGTAATGGGAATAATGTGTAGAATTGTTTTGTGTTCTATTTGAAGAACTTTCTTCACTGGTTGCCATTAAAACTGTGGCTCCAGCAGCTACCATCCCTAAAATTATTCTTGTATGACGTCTTACACTTTCTAACATACTTTTCATGATCACTTAATTAAGTACATACATCGACATATTTAATTTCCTGAGATCCAAAAGTACAGGTCATATATAGGAGATAAATATAAATATAAAATAAAAAAATTCAAATCAACTGTGACCTGATCAGATTGACGTATCAAACGTATCAACAAGCAAGAAAATAATAATTGCAAGCGTTTTGACAGCAGTACATTTATTCTTTACGAATTTGGAACATACGTGTACATGATTTCTAAATGGAACGTAACGTCAACGAAGGTTTTCATCAATTTCGAAACTTAAATCCAGCCGTACATATTGTAACAAAAACATAATTACGAATGATCCAATCGAGTAAACGTCAACGTTATACATGTTAATTCTTAATAACAATATTCAAGATGTTTACAGAATGCTAAAACTCGTACAGTATGAATTATAACAAAGGGCCATCCTCACACTTACTGATCTAATATAATTTTTGTTTCATTGCAGCCGTATCACGATTTAAAACGAATTCTATAAAGTAATCAAAAACGCAACCAGTGACGCAGATCGGTTAATGTCGTATCACAGCTATTCGATAAGTACTACTTATAAAATACATATAAAAAGCACCCATTGAAATCGGGCAGTTGTATAAAATCTCGCGGAGTCTCGATTCGTACGTGGACAAGAATTTGCAACACGGAGAGAATGTTTGTTCGCTGGGAAGATTACACAGGTATTAGTCATTACAATTTCTCTCATAACGAAGTAGAACGAATAAAACCGAAGGTAAGTATTAAACGGAACCAGATGGCGTTGTTTGAATTAAATAAATGTCATCCGAACTATCCGAAGTTGTATATATATATATGTACTATATTAATATATACATGTATGCCATTCGATCTCAAAGATTATCAAGCCGTTCGGTAATTATACATGTGTCACAAGGTCACAACTGTCATAAGTCACAGCCGATCACCGGCACACCGGTTCGTGTCTTTTGTGTATTTAATCCATATAAATTCTATTAGAATGTACATAAGTTCTAATTATGATACATATATTAATAATTTATATCATTTAAATTTTTGCATCTTCAGGTATTAAGCAAACGTCAACGCTTGTATGATCAGAAATCGAATATTGTAGCGAACTTGGATGTTGGTACCTGGAGTCTGACAAAGGGTGGTCCAAGGTTTGAGAGAGATGTAAAACGAGTGGTCTCAGTGTATTACATATTTATTGAGCTCTATGAGAACTACTGATTACAAGAATCGCATCTAACAAGAAGTTTGTTTACTCGAACAAACAGTCTTGATAACGCGTTATGTACTGTAGCAATGTTGAATATCGGTTCAAATTAATCTAACTTAATCTAACCTAACTTACTAAACGAAGAAGTGAGAAGGAATAAAAATAACTGTACAGACAACAATTTTTCTACGATTTTGTTAAACAAGTGTATACTCTTTTATTATATAATAAAATTATATTGAAAAACTAACTCTATCCACAGCAAGTGGTATTCAATACTGTCAGTCATAAGTCATATCTATTCAAATAAGTAAAAAAGCGTCGATGCATCGAATAATGTATTGCATCACTGATTTAACTGAAGATAATTATCGTACTTGCTCCCAAATCTGTTTTCGATTCACATTCTGGTTCAAAGTATATTAAAAACATAAAATATGAAGTTTTGTCTTCATGCGAACGGGCTCATTGCGAGCAGGTTTTTGCGAAAGTTTTCAAAGTTAAAAGACGGGCTTGGTGTGAGATATTCTTCGCAATATTACAAAGTAGATGATAATATATTTGGTCTTAATGAACAACAAAGAGAGGTTAGTCAAACTATAGCAATGTATTATCAAGACAAAAAATTGAAAGATTATTATCTTCATAAATCTTCCTGCTACATGAAAGATGTAGTTACAATTTTAATCGTTGATTAAATTAGTCGAAGGTTGATAGAACTGGTTCTAAGATTGATTGTCAATTATTTTATACTATTTACTATATTATTCGGTGGATGTAAATTAGTCATAGAAAAATTCTACATCTTTACAGCTTCGGGAATTAGTATTTAATTTCGTGCAAAAAGAACTTGCACCGAAAGCTGCCGAGATCGACAGAAAGAATCATTTCGATGAGTTCCGAGTAAGTGACGGTGGGAACTAGCAATTGATTAATGAGCTTCGAGTGTATTATAAAGGCTGTTATGAATTAGGATTTTTGGAAGAAGCTTGGCAATCTCGGTTTACTAGGTATAACAGTAAAGCCCGAGTACGGTGGCACGGGTGGCTCTTACATGGACAATATTATTGCTATGGAAGAACTGAGCCGAGCATCGGCTGCTATAGCGCTTAGCTACGGGGCTCATTCGAATTTGTGCATTAATCAGATCCACAGAAATGGGACGGAAGAGCAGAAGCAAAAATATTTGCCGAAAGTAAAGAACAAACTTCGAAGTCTATAGATCTTGTACTTAGTCTCCTACGGGTATTTAAACTTTTTCGTAGCTGTGTACCGGGGAGCACGTTGGGGCTCTCGCGATGTCGGAAACGACTTCTGGATCCGACGTGGTTTCAATGAAATTGCGCGCTGAAAAGAAGGGTGACTATTACGTTTTAAATGGTCACAAATTTTGGATCACCAATGGGCCTGACGCGGATACTCTGGTTGTTTATGCAAAAACGAATCCGAACGCGATTAAACCGCAACACGGTATCACAGCATTTATCGTTGAACGAGGTTTCGAAGGTTTTAGCTCAGGAAAAAAGTTGGATAAAGTCGGTATGCGAGGTTCTAACACGGGCGAACTTGTCTTCCAAGATTGTAAAGTTCCTGGTATATTCATTTTTTCATTGCTCTTTAAATTTACAATGTTTTGTCGATGCTGGTTAATCACGCTGCCAATTGGTGTTACTAATTGCAGCTGAGAATATACTCGGACAAGAAAACAAAGGCATCTATGTGCTATTCAGCGGTTTAGATTTGGAGAGATTGATCTTAGCAGCAGGTCCTGTAGGGTAATATTTATTTCTTCGCGTTGTATTATATTTTACATTAAATTTACACGACAGATCTTGTTTCATTTTGTTAAATATTAGAATTCTTCAAGCCTGCTGCGACGTGGCCTTCGAGTACGCGCACACGAGAAAACAGTTTGGGAAGCCGATCGCAGAATTTCAGATGATACAAGTATAAAGTCCTCTCTCTTTCTTCAAGAAAAATTGTACATGTTCAGTTCTAAAATATTCCGATTGTAATGTAGGAAAAAATAGCGTACATGTACACGAGTCTGAGCGCATGCCGAAGTTATTTGTACTCTGTAGCTAGATCTTGCGACGCAGGAAATACAAACAGAAAAGATTGCGCGGCCGTAATACTATATACCTCTGAATGCGCTACGAACGCTGCGTTGAACGCGATTCAAATACTAGGTAAATTATTTTTAATCTAAATTTTACACTAAGATTCATCCGCCTTTAATTGATCTAATTCTTCAGGCGGGAATGGCTATATAAATGATTACCCTACCGGACGGTATTTACGAGACGCGAAATTGTACGAGATCGGTGCTGGTACCAGCGAAATTCGCCGGATGGTAATCAGTAGAGCGATTAGTGAAGAATATATGTAAAGGAATCTTCTTTCTACCAATTTCTGATACCAATTTATTCTTGTAATTTTTGTAAAAGACTAGAAGATAAAGAAAATGTTTTTTACAACGTCGCGATAAATCATCGAGCGTCTATGAATTATTTTTAATCCTCTTTGTTAGTCAGTTCCGCTTTTAGCGATTAGAGGTACTATGGAGTTATCGCGCGGGCAATTAATAGGTCATCGGTTTTGCCAATCTGCATATGATTCCGATAGATATCTGTATATACTTTCCTAATATCGCGTAAGTCGAGATAAATGAGTCACTAGAACGGCTCAGCCTTAAAACTATGATTGACTAACCTTTCGCGCTATAGGTTGCTAATTTAAGTTAAACTTACGTACCACTCTCTCTTTCTCGGTTTAGTCCACGCACCCCCTTTTACTTCTTTCTCTTTCTCTCTTGATTTAGTCTCATTAATCACGGTGCGGCCGAACTAATTAGATCGGAACCACATAGGGGCGAGTAGGTTTCGGTTACTCGGCGGTCTCGTTATTCGGTGATAGAGATAGGGAAGTGTGGCCGTGGGTCTCGTGACAGGCGAAGATGTCCCTTAAGTTTACCATAGGAAATTATTACGAGACCTATGTGAGTAACAGCCCGAACCTCTCTCTCTTTCTATTTAATAATTCTCCCATTCGTTATTTAATTTCGGTGATATACAATTTCCGACGAACCGTGTTCCCTGCATCGCATTCATTGAAGTTACACACAGTGCAACCCAGAGACGTTACATATTGTATCATCTCCTTCGTCAATAACTCGAGGAAAAGAACCCATTGTAATTCACGAATGTGTTAATAAATCGTTTACGTGCAACATTTAATTCTGTCTCTTTTCATTCAACGTACGTCGATGTCACCGTGTAAAGATGTGCATAATTGAATTATTCGTAAACGTTCAACGCTCTCATGATCATCTCTTCGAGGAGTTCCTCGCGACCCGCCAGAAGACTGATACTCGAGGTAATAATAATCTTGCGATATTTAATGTATCACCGAAGATCGTTGGTCCCATCGTCAATGGAGCAAAGGCAAGAGGGAGGCCGCGAATACCAGAGAAATGAGTGCAGGTCGGGCCAGAACAATACACACAGTATGCCAATTCGAAATGGGGCCAGAATAGCAGAAGCGGCGGGCCGGTAGTTGGGTAACTAAAGCTCGGAGAAGCTAAAGCCTGTCAAAATCAAGTGGTGGTGCAGTCAGTAGTTCTCGTTTGCCAGTAAGGAGCGTGAGCGCGACGTCGATATTGCCCTAACTCGACTCGGAACCGTTCGCATCTGTCTCTCTCGACGACGAGTTCCTTTCGTTCCGAGATTAAAAACTTGTTCGCCGCTGTTACGTTTAATCGAGCGATCGCTCCGTGGCTGATCGTCCCTTCTCCCGATTCTCGACCCGAACGATCGGACCCTCGCCTCGTTTTTGGTGCCCGTTATAAACACCGCGATTGGGTTGTTGTGACAGACGGAGTAGAGCATGACGAGGAAACAAACGGTGATCGTGAAGCTAAAGAGATCCGGCACCGGCAGACCTTGGGGAATACGTCTCGCTGGAGGCGCTGATTTGGGCACGCCGATCGTCGTCACCCGCGTGAGTTCTTGAAATTTCAACCAATTTCGACCTAAGCGATCGTACAAGCCAAAGTGATATCTGTACCGATCTATTACTGTTAGATGCGCACGTTACCCGCCTACAGTTATTATTGGATCCGCAGCAAAACTATATCCACGATAGAAAACAGCAGGGGATGCAGATCATTCTCTAATGTACACGAGCTTCTGCTTACTTTCAGCGATATCTCCATAGTTAACGAATTAAAAGGCTTTATTGCGATTATTTATTTTTACCCGGAATGTCCATTAATTACTGGCGACGGTAAAAGATTGTAGACTAGGCGTACGTTAAATCATAATCACGATCCACCTGTCACGTGTGACCTAATCTCGTGTTCTCTTCTTGATCGATTCGACTGCATTCTCCCTGGCATGATTGTTGAACGCAGCTGATCTGTGAGATAAACCGCATAAACACATTTGAACACGGTCCAACTGTTCCTGCCTTTCGAGCGTAATCCGTGCGTTACCTTATGTATATTAATCGAGAGTTACTCATCTTTTATCGTGCGAACGCTCATTTGTTTAACTAATACAGTTTTATGATATTCTAAAACGCCGAGCATCAAATCGACGCGAGTCAACATTTTTATTATCAGATTTGACTAAAAATCCAATAGCGAATTGTCTTGGTTTGTTAATTTTGCTTCTCGCAATTAGAGAAAATCGAAACGGTGCTATTAAAAGACGACGCTTGGTTTATGTCATTCTTTTTTCGGACGATCACAGAAACGATTAGGTACGATTGAATCATTTCTGTGTGTAATTGCAGTCGGAGAACGAGGCGCTCCAGAGGGGTGATGTGATCAGGAAAATCGACGATTACGACGCGCGAGACGTGAGGCATGTAGACGCCCAGAATCTACTTCAAAACTCAGAATCTATAAGGCTCGTGGTCGAAAGGTCTGAGCTATCGAACGCATCACGTATCAACATTACCACGTCACCTCCGATATTCCGGTCGAACATTGGCGACAGGGCTGCGGTCACTAGTCTGTCAGAAAGCAATTTCCACCTTTTATTATTATGCGCTCGTGTTGTCGCATCGTTTTACCGCCGCGCTGTTATAATAGTACTAAGTACCGCTCGCTATTGCGTGCAATATGTGCCTGACACGCTTCACATTAAACGATTTATTTCTTCTTTTTTTACATGCTTTAATCGCAGCGCCTGATTGACAGCTCACCGCATCGAGGATCATCATCGACTCTATCTCGACAATCATTTTCCGTTTGATCCGCGATCGCTATTCAGATGCACGACCGCTTTCAGAAACTAATTACATACGCCGCTCGATGCATTAAGAAACTCGTCAAAGCTAGAACTGCTCAGGCAATCGTCTCTTTTTCTCTGGCTACGTTGAAACGAGCTTCGGCGTGCATGGAGATTTTTAACGAAGGCATGCGGCTTTCGCGTAAACGAATTCGAAAGTGATTGTCGAAAGTATCATTGAAGGCTCTCGTCAAAGGAATCGGTTTCACTTTGACTCGTTAGTAAGATGCCTGTTTCCGTTCCGCTATAGAGCCAGACCACCGAAACTTCCATCGACGTTACCGAAGAGCCCCGTGCCACCGCCTTCGTTCGACGATTACAGCCGACCTACATCACCGCCGGAAGGTCTTAGCTTGCCCCACGATCATCTCGACGAGATTCGAGAAGAGAGAGCCTATTTGTCGCAGGTACAGATACACTTTAAAACACGAGACTCGGGCATGGTAGCGAACCTCCTAACAACCCCTGTCGCAATAAATTCGTATAACCGTTTGCTTTACGGTTTGACTAATACCGGGATGCGTGTACGCGTTCATTTTGGCAAACGGATTCGAACGAGATAGTGATAGCACCGTCCGAGTAACATCGTCTATAATCGCGACACGATTCTGGAAAGTTTTCTAACACATTCTAAATTCGCAAACGTAAACGCCGTCTGGTCAGTCTAAAGAGCTTACAGGGTAGTTCATTGACCCGGTAAATAAAACAGCGCGTCGCCTAAGTTTCTTGAATAATTGACTGTCGTCAAGTATTTTCTAGTTTCTCGGACGAGTCCCTAATCCTGATCTTTGGGCGGTATTTAATTTCGATTAACTTACATTCAGTAGACAACAATTGAAGATATTGGATTTCAAAGTACAAGGTAGATTGTGTTTGGCAAGCGATGCGCTGTTACGAAATTAGTCGGACAGTTTGATATTCAATAACTCATGGTTGATTCACCGAGGAGGTAGGATGACAGAATATTTGTCGAATTTAATTCGCCATTTCCGTGCTCTATTTCGAGTTCAACCTCGATCGGAGCTTAATCGGAAATTATTTAAAGTTCCTACTTAGTAATTCATTCATTGCCTCTTTCACCCCAATTTCTTAACTCCTGTTAACAGGAGCCTCAATAATCATCGAATTCGAAGCGTTAAGAATGTTTAACATCTCTTATGTATTTTTTTAATGGTACATACATATATTTAATAGCGAATAGTTGATTTTAATTCAACCGGCCAGGGTTTGTGATTAACATCAGTTTCGTTAGATGGAATCACGGTCTCTGAATACTGAATACGCGAAAAGTGAATGGTATAGTCTGGGCACGTGTGCACGTATGAGGATTTACGTGAGATTCGCGGGGTGTTCGAAGTGTGAATATATTTTTGTTGGCCCGCCGCGATGCCGGAAAGTCCGCGCGTAGATACAGTTGCCACGCTATAAATAACGCTTTTGCATCGAAACCACCGCTCCGATCCAATACTACGCGATCCAGGACGACTTCAGAACACTATTTCGATCGTGCTCTCCGCTTCGAAACACGTACTTACATATTTTTATTGTTTTTACGTTCGATACATCTACAATTATGTAAAACTAAGGAGAACGCCTAAAGAGAGAGGTACTACTTGTTAATCATTGCGCTTCTCTTTATTAAATTACTCACCGGAGATTAAATGTATGAAACTAAGAAGAAGAAGAAGAAGAAGCATCGCTGATCATTTTACTTTTTCCCTAACAATATGTCGGGTATCTGAATCTCTGAATGTGTTAAAGCAATTTTTATAACTCAGAATGATATTTACGTTAAGTACGTAAGGGATGCATTGCCAAGGGAAACACTTTTGTTGATCTTTCGAGTTAATGGTAATGGACCAAGGTTGAGAGATGCATTAATCAGGGAACCGCGTAAACTGTAAAGCTGTATAGCGAAGCGGGAGGTAAAAGAAGTGAAAGGGGGAGAAACGAATACGACGACGGCGACCGATTCGCGTTTCGAACAATTATTCCGAAGCTTTCGGGATTTGGTGCGAGTCCAAATGTGACACAATCGATCAAAAATACATGCGAATGGCAATGGAAATAAATACGAATTTATTGAATTAATTGTAATCCGTTCCATTGAGGAATTCAATTCGTTGTTGAAGCCGAGTCCTAATCGTTCATGGAAAGAAATAAAGAGACGTGACGAGGGGCGAGTGAAGGATCGAAACGTGAGATCGTATAGCCGATCAAGAAGGTAAAACGTAGGAGCGATCGAGATACGACGGTAATACGTGGAGAGGAGAAGAAAGAGCGCGAGAGGAGTCGCGTGGAAAAGGCCAGAGTTAGTGCCTCCCGCGCAACGAGACAGTGCGTTAGCGAATATTCGTAAAGAAGAGGGATCCTCGGCGAGAAAAAAAAAAGTGAACCTAACTGCACGGTGAAAAGCGAGAGAAAAGAGAGAGCGATCCCTGGACCAAGGAGTGTTGCTTCCAGGAATACTGAGCCCTCGGTCCGATTAGGAAACGATGCCAGCTTACACCATTTACCGTAATACCATCGAAGTGCAGCCGAAGGAGGAGGAGGCTGCCGTGTTTTGGGTACGAAATCACAGGGAACGATAATTAAAATATTCGCGTTGCGTTGCGTTGTGAATATCAATAAAATAAATTACGAGTCGGTCAGTGACATTAAGGCTTGTAAAAATATTGAACTCAATTTATTTAAAAATAAATTGGTATCGTGTTTCTTATTACTTTTAATTATTAGTGCTTAAAGACGGTGAGGAAATGATTGAAAAATTCTAACGGGGAACGTTCTTCACATTTTATGAAGGTCACTGGTTCATAAGCACATTCGGTATTTTGACAATGCATGAATCAACCTGGTACCAGTATTAAAAGAATGCAGTGCTGGCTTGGCTTGTACAATGTTTTATCTCGAAATAGTTGTTTTCTGGTTAAAACATCATTTACCAAACGATCTTTGAAACGAAGGGGTAATTAAAGAGAGATGTAATGATGATCTAGATTCCGAATTACGTCGTGCGCCAACCTTGACACCCTCGGTGAAACCGGGGCTAGGTCTTGATTCTATACCAATGACATTGAAGATGAACAAAGAGCAGAATTTTCAGAAGGCTTGTCAATGAAATTATACAGATTTCTAAGGGCGTGCGTAACGAAAGGGAGAACCATTCAGATGAGAGGAGAATTACACCGCTAGCATGACTGACTAATAACACGATGCAATAAAACGCATGTAAGCACGTTACGGGGCTGTTCATTGGTATCTTATTCTATTTTCGTAAATGAGATCTGGGTTACTCAAACAGAAGAGGGTCATACAACGAAACTCCCACAGCCTGTCGTTTTACTTTCCAAGGTATAGCTTTTCTGACGATTCTGAGAAACTATGGAAAAAGCTTAGGTAGAAATTATGTGAAAAATTGTAACAGTATTACTTCTCAGCCAAAGACGCGCCGTTCTGCTTTCTTCGCTTTTTGCGTACCTATAGCCCGTAAATTCTAGAAGGTTTTCCCACTGTTAGAGTTCAAGTTTCAGCACACATAGCTGCTGAGCCAACGAATAAACACTTTTCGAAACACGTCGCTTCGGCGTGTCTGAATTTAGTTCGGGGACATTGTATAAAAAGCGACTTCCTACTCTGAAATAATCGTCTCGCTCGTAAATCGTGCGTGCATTCGTTGAAATTTCATTACCGCCTGCTTTCCAGCAACGAGAACTACTAATAAGAAGAAATTAAAGCTCGACGAGTATTTATCGAAACTATGATAGATTTCGGTTACAGGGTACTACGTTATTTTTGCCGGCTAGGGGCCTTCGTCTATTTCGAGATAGACACTATGCTTGCCCTGTAAAATAATGTTCCCGACCCATTTCTAATAAAATATATATACCGACTTGGTTGACGGATGCATCGATCGTTCGATCGTTTACTCCGATGCCTATTGAATTCGAATCCGATTTTCTATTCTTGCAAGCGTGTCTTATAAATACGACGCGTAACTTTATCTCAGCGTTCACGCTATTTCTACATCGTTCCACTTGACATTCTCATTTTCATCATGGTTTGCCAGTGACGACACCCGAATCCAACTGTGCGCATTGTAACACTGGATAAATGCGAAGTTACCGCTTCCACGAAGCGGACGAAATAAACGAATCCGGAAAAAGCGGTAAATTACATGCAACGATCGTTCATACATTTCGTCCTATTGTTCTGCGATATTTTTAATAATTTCGTAACTCTGCGCAGAATGAACGTAACGGTAGCTAACGTAACCGCGGGAAATATTTACTTGGCAGACGCTTTCTTCGTAACGATACAGTTTTATGCAATTTTATTGTGCAGACGCGAGCCAAGTACACCTGAGATTTTAACCACTGTTATTGTAGCTGATATATCCTAGACTGAGCGTTCATTTCCGGCTTCGCTAGTTCTGCCAAAGTCATTACGTTTATTGTGTTACGCTTATTATGATGGATATAAAGAAGAGGAAAGTAACGTCGCTCTGATCGGAGCGACGATATATTTTTAGATGCGAGCCGCACAGGTTGTTATTTGAACCGCGTCAAAATTTAATGAGGTACCATCGATCACTATGCCTTCCTAACAGTGGTTTATTTTAGATTTCATTAGCTCGTAATTGACACCATTTTGAAGTCACCGTCCCGCGCCTATTTAGCTTGTCAAGAACTTCGATTCGGGCACGCATAATACGCCGATACGTCATAATTCAACGTGCAATTAGGACGTACGAAATTAGACTTACCTTAAACGATGCCGTTCGTATGATTTTCAGCCATACCGCACAACTCCTTTGGTTTTGCCAGGTGCAAAGATCAAGAAGGATGCTCCGCTCGGGGAATGCTACTTACGCCATCATCCAAATCCGATGATCAGAGCGGCACCGCATCATTACGAGCAAGCTCATCCCGAGATCGCTATGAAACAAAAAGTAAGCACTGTACAATAATCTAATTTTATACTTTTCAGACTGTGACCATCCAACAGGTATTTAGTAACAGTTTGAACGAGCGGAGATAATTCGCCACGGATGGTCAGGGTCTGCTACTCGTATTTACGAAATGAAAATTTCAAAAGGACTTTTCTTGCCTCGGGTAAAAATTGTTAAAAAGATCGAGGGATATTAATGTGTAAATATATTTTATATAATATCTGATTAGGTGGCAGAATCGGTACTTCAACGTGTCTTGGGACCGAATGAAGTTCCAAAGGTTTGAACTACTTTATTCTCAAAGTTCTCTTGCTTTCGCTCTCACGAACGATGCTTCCGCTTCGATCGAAATTATTCTCATCGTTTTTAACTATAAGAGATCACCTGGAAGCCTTTTACTATAATTATTGTCGACTTTAATGTCGCATGCAATCGATATCGCGCCGCTAATTAATCAGCCAGTGATTTAAACTGATTATCAACATATTTAGATTTACCTAAAAAAAACTGAATAAAAAACGTTCTGGACCCGTTTAAGAATTCCCACACAATAAGATGTCACATTAAATATATATGTGAAAGCATCATCAAATAACTATTATACAAACTGCGACGCTCGAACTAATCTACCCGCAACGTTGAAACGAAACACACCTACGTAAAAGCAGAAGTCGTTAATTTCATTGATTTTCGTCTCCGCTTTTTTAATTATGACTCCCTTAATTGTCGTGCGCTTAGAAGTATAATTAATTTATTTAAATCTTGTTTCTTAGGTCGTCCATAAGCAATTCAACTCGCCGATCGGGCTTTACTCTGAACAGAATATCGCAGATACTATTAAGTGCCAAGCGTCAGCCATACCGTAAGTTAAAAATGAATTTACGAGAACCATAGGCTTATTATTGAACAGTTTGCAGTAGAGTAACTAGCATTTAATACTAGTGGATTGTTGCTGAATGCTGCTACTACTGTCAAGCACAATTAACTCTGAGCAATTTTTATCTTGACGCCACTAACTAACGGACAATTTTTATCAAAATCTTAAATAACTCGATTAGCGACGCATCGGAAGATTGATCCGGGAGACGTTCGAATTGGAAGTTCTATGTCGATGATAGACTGCCGCTCTACATGATAACAACACGGAGTGATAGGATTTACAGAAAACGCAGCACAATTGTTACACTGCAGTTCTCTAATACCATTTTCATTAATTGGACGACACTCACGTGCAGTTTGTTTGTTTTTCCAGCATTTTCATAGACTTTTCCTTCGTGAAACAGAAACAGGAAATAGAGGAGCAAGCGAGAATCTTGAAGGAGCAGGCAAAGGCTGCTTCCTCGAAGAACGTGTGGCCGCAGTTCAATAAACCGAATTAAATAACCAGTTCGAGACGTTTTTCGATGCTTCTCGCGCAACGTGTTTCGTAGTTTCAGATTGGTCACAATAGTTTGCTACGTACGTGTCACTGGTCACGTTCCTTGTCTCGTGGGAAACTCCACTTTTCATTTTCGCGTCGTTGGAGTTCGAACTATAGTTCATTTTTATTTTTATTTTTGTTCTAATCAACGTAATAGAACGTGGCCACTGAGAATCGTGATTGCGATAATAAGCGTACAATCGAGTGTTTGATGATTCGATTCGTAATTAGAGTCGTTCTAACACGTAATTATTGCGGCTTGCTTGTAGTAATCTCGAGTAGAATCGATAAAATTGCCAGGAGATTTAGAAAGTTAATCTCGAAGCTTGTAAAATAACAATTATATATATATCTGCATGCTATATCGTTGAAATATTAATCGTAGTAAACGTAGATAGAAATCAGTAGCCTGACTAATTTCTCTACTCATATAATGAAGAAGCGACTCTCGAGAATTACTGATCCCGTTGTCCGATAAGAACGATCCAAGCGTGTATCAAAATTGAATGTTAAACGATTGAAATGATCTTTACGGATGATAACGTGATTCTCGGGAAGAAGCGTTGAAAGAAATCATCTAGTTGGGACATATTTGTGACTCGATTAATGAAAAGGGCATGGAAGCGGTCCGAAAAGTCGCTCTCGAACAAACAATTGGCGATATAACCCCGGCTGCTGCTAACCGATCAGACAAAATCCGAGGCAAATGAATTAAAAATAGTCCGTGTATGCGATTCAATGGTATAGCCTGAAGAAACCAGTCAAGTACGACCCGAGCAAGAGCGAGGCTTACAAGGCCCTGCAAGAGGAGGCCATCGGCGACACAGTGCAGGAGGTGAGACAGCCGGCACGCACCGGTGTTTTCTCGCCGCAGAAGGTCAATCAAAATAGGGTGCGTACCTTGCGATTCATTTCCATTTCACCGTGGAGATCTTCTCTTGCTTCACTGATCACATTTTCCAGGTACCCTACAATCCGCCGAAGAGTCCTGCTCCATACGTAAGTGCAAACATTCTGACTCCTTTCTTTTTCTTCACTCTTCACTTTAACGCTAGACAGAATGTGCCGAACAAATTTATAATTTGTACAGTCTAAGTTTGATGAGATTTGACTCTCGACAAAGTAGAGACACGTACCATTGTTAATTTTCACATGTGCTGTTAGCTATCTTGATCAATTAATAGCTGACGTTTATTTATTTGATTAAGGGTGGAAATTATAGACGTCCGTTCCCTCTTCCTTTTATAAAGGATCGCATCAACGACTATTAAAATTTTCATCAACTTGTATGTGTAATTTGTGTATTTGCGCGCATATATTCATTTACACGCTTATTATATCCCTCCGAAAAGTATTTTCTTCAAACGTTTGGAACTAAAACCAATCTTAAGATTACGATTCGTTTCAAATATAAAATGTAATAAAAAGAGAACTACTATCGAGCCACTAACGTGTGCCAAGCATTTCCGAAATCCGTTATTGCTCTGCTTAATCCGATCGCAGTCGAATGTTTTACTATGTCTTCTTTCATTTTTCTAGGGAAATGTCCTCGAAGAAGACGGTGAAAAGATTCATCAAAGTAACAGCTTCAAAAGGATCATGTATAGTGTCCTGGGACAAACTGATTATTAATTTGTGAACTGAAATTATAATATATCTTATTTATAATATATTCCTATATATATATATATTTTATTTATTTATTGTCCGAAACAATAAATATATTGCAACAAAAACGAAGAATAATTATGAATGGAACGAGATCTAAACGAGAAATCAAAAATTGCTTTTGAAAATTTGATTGTCAAGNTTTCTAAAATTCTAATAAAACCATGAGAGTAATTGAACATTGATAATTGTGAACTATATAGAAAAAGTGTTTTACTAGTTCCTATGAGAAACTATCTAATAAAATTAAGAAGAGGTAGAATGCGATAACGACTAACATAATTTAATTTAATGATAATGTTTTACAATGTTCACCACGATAACGATATACACCAAAAGAATTTGATTTCATTTCCGTTAGAGCAACTCTGATCTATTAATCTTTATTATAATAAAGCATACATGTCTGTATCGTCGTTATTATGCATATAATAACAAGAAGTGACATGAGCAGAATAATAATACCGCAATTCAAATTGGAACACATTGCATCTATAAGGTTCTAGCAGTTCACAAAATATCGTGTACTATCGTTTCTGCATTTCTTCTTAGAACATATAGAAAGGGAGGTATTCATGATCGTCCTAAATCAATTTTATCCGATACAATGCTCTCCAATTATTTCCACGGTATGATAACTATTCCATTCATGAAATCCATCTTCGATACGATTCATACGTAGAACATAAATACTGAGCCTTCGCAACTTATGGAGTGACCAAATTGTCTTACACCAAGCGTATCGCTGGTCGAGGAAACGTAGTATTGAAATTTCTTTTTCCTAAACGTTTTCTAGTCTAGTTGTCTTCTACTCCCCTGTCGTTCTCTCCACAGGGAGAAATTTTTGAAACTTTTCGAAGAGTGTCGTTACATCTCAGTCTCGTAAACTTTATTTTTTCTTCCTTCTAATTATGTTTATACAAATTTGTATTTCGACAAGCTGCCTTACGCGATCGAGATTAACGATACAGCCTGTCTCTTCTGAAGTTTCAATCGATCAACCAATCATTTAATTTTTTATAAAGAAAAGTAGAGCGGTGATAAAAAATTAAATGTATTGGCTGTCATTTGTTACGGCATTAAGTAAAGGAATAAAAAAATTGCCGTAGATACTCGTTTACCAAACCCCAAAAAGTTTCACCCAAATCTCCGCAGTCGTTAGCCTACCGACATACATTTACGCTCTGCGTAAAATGTTGTATAAATTAAAAATAATACTTTCTTTTTAATCTTATTCATTTCGTACAGTTAAGAGTTTATCGATAATAAAATAAAGTTAGAAACGGCAGCGCGCGACTATTTTCGATCGATACGTTTCTTGGATCTCACGAGCCTAGCAATGAGTAAAGCATGTCGGGACAGTTTCGTGCCAACATAATTTTCATACTTTTGACGTATTTACATCCTACAATGTCTTCGTTAATTCAAACATACACCGGGCTCAGCATTCAACTCTCATACTAACATAAATATATAATATATATCACGTATTAAAAGCAAAAAATATACAAGATCGCATTCAAACATAAAAGAAGAATGAAATGCATGTATTTACATGTGTTACTCATTGCGAACAGGTATGAAATAATCTTTGGATACCTGTTTACGAATAATTTAATTACTGGAGATGCGTTGAATTACACGACCGGACCACAGAGTCATGATAAATTCCGAAACAAATAGGTCAACAGTTTAAAACCTGATAAGTGGTATTAAACACATTTTGCGTTATCGAAAAATATTCGCGCGCAGCCGATGAATCTATAATGGAGAAACTAATTACCAGATTATGTTCATCTCCGAAAGGATGTACGTAGAGCAGGACAAATGGAATAGATCAAATATAATGCGAGGAAATAAATAAGGTTTGTGTTCTACATAGTGCTACGAAGGACAATTAAAGATTCAACGAATCGTCGAGTAGCTGTTTCAGTTCCTTCAAATGTTGCATTTTGCTTCCAGTCGCAGGTGATGCTCCCGTTGGACGACCCGCATACCTGAAGCACAAAGTACAATTCATGGATGAAATTGGGGACTTGAAAATACGGATTCTCCTGAATTTACATCCCAACTACTCCACTGTTAATACGAAACTGTAGCAGATAAAACGATTACGAGTGATCCAAGTCAAATACTGTTGTCAACGTTACCTTATCGTTCTCTTTTGGGGTTTATCAGACTGTATCGACTCCGGCTCGGGCGCAGTTGTTGGTTTACTCGATGAAAACCAACTACTAAACCAACCGCCGCTACCCTTACTCTCCGTATTTCCGCTGCTGCAACATGGCCCAATTTTTTTACTTTGCTTAACGGATCGTGTGCAAGAAACATTGCGAAACTTCGTGCTTAAGCTTGTTCATAACACAGTATTTAGACACATCGAAGTTTCACAAGATACATGGAAAAAAGAAACAATGACAAAGTGAAAAATTTGGGCCATGTGAACAGCTAAATGAAATACAAAATAAAGACCGATATGGATAAAAAAAATGCGTAACAAAACATATCCACAATTTCGTAATTCACAAATGTCACAAATATCTACCGATTGACATCGTAATACCGGCGGGTTAACACAAAGTTGGAAGCTAAAATTATAATGATTGCGACACTTACGTCAGGGGGCGAGTTCCATTGAGTGCTGTATGGAACCTCGGTTGGACGTACGTCCACGCGCCTTGATTCTTGTGTTCTTCCTGAGCCCACACTAATTCCGCATTAGGATATTTAGCCGACTCCTTCTTCACCAAATCGTACGGGAAGGGAGAGATCTATACAGAAACACAGATTCATTAATATCATTTATAAAAGTGTATGAAAAGAGTAAAACGTAATATCTTTCCTACTATTTACCTGTTCAACTCTCGCGATTGCGATTTTATCGTCCAATTGTCTCTCCGCACGGGCTTTCTTCAAGTCGTAGTAAACTTTGCCAGAACAGAAGATCACTCTTTTAACATTGTTGGGGCTTTGAGAAGCTGGGCCTTCATCTGGTATTACTCTGAGGAATTCGGTATTTTCAAGCATCAAATCGAAGCTGGACTTCGCTTCCGGGTGACGGAGAAGCGACTTCGGTGTCATCAGAATCAAAGGTTTCCTGAACGGCAATGCAATCTGTCTCCTCAAGATGTGGAAATAATTAGCCGGCGTGCTGCAATTAGCGACGATCCAGTTGATGTCGTGCAACTGGCGTACAGCAAATTCTTCGCTCTCGGGAGGGAAATAATCTGGGTCATCGGCGGACATTTGCAAGAAACGTTCCAAACGAGCACTTGAATGTTCAGGTCCCTATAAAAAAATAATCAATTATGTATATAAAAGCAAATAATTTAAAAAAGTAAGTAAAATAAGCTTACCATCCCTTCGAGACCATGCGGTTGCAGCATAACGAGACCAGATTGGCGCACCCATTTAGCTTGACCGCTGCTAATAAACTGGTCAATGATACACTGTGCCGTATTGTTGAAATCACCGAATTGCGCTTCCCAGCATACCAATGCATTAGGATTTGTCATAGAGTAACCCAATTCAAATCCTATCAATTTAATACCGATGTTTAGTCACATTATTAACGTGAATACGTGAAACCGAAGTAAGATGCAATGACATTACCAAGTACACCAAATTCCGATAGAGAACTGTTGCATACGGTGTACGGAGCTTGATCAGGGTAAAGGTAGCACAATGGCCTGTAGGTAGCCTTATCAACGGTCTGATGGTGAAGCACGTGATGTCTGTGTGAGAAGGTTCCTCTCTCTACATCTTGACCAGACAATCTAACGTGGATGCCTTCTTTCAATAAGGAACCGAAAGCCATAGCTTCTCCAAGAGCCCAATCAACTGTTCGAGCTTCTACCATTTCCATACGAGACTTCAAAATACGTTCGATACCTACAGGAACATCATTTATTAATTCCGAATCAATTAAATTATATTATTGATCGTCCAGAGATAATTACCCTTATGAACCACAAACTCGGCTGCGTTAGGAGGTGGCGACGAGAACTTCTTTCCAATGTGAACGAGTGTATCTTCCTTGATGCCAGTGGGAGATACTTTCAAGGGGTCTTTTCCCTCAAAGAAGCCGGACCACGGAGAATCCAGCCAGTCCTTGTATTTAATATGAGTTTCTTGTCTGGCGTTAACATATGCTTCCTCGCAAATCTTCTCATATTTATCTTTAACATCCTGGAATAATACTATTATAGAACATCCGCAACGATGCGCAATCGATAAATTAAAATGTTCTTCATATTCGTACTTTGACTTCTTCGAGAGTGACAACACCATCGTCGATGAGAGATTTAGAGTACTTGTCCAGAGCCGGTGGAGTATTTTTGATTTTGCGGTACATCAAAGGCTGCGTGAACATTGGTTCATCGATCTCATTGTGACCGTTTCGCCTGTAGGATACGATATCGATAACAACGTCCTTATGGAAAGTTGCTCTCCATTCAGCAGCTACTTTGCAAACGTGCATCACTGCTTCAGGATCATCCGAATTAACGTGGAAAATGGGTGCATTCACTACCCTGGCAACATCTGTTAAACAGACCAATGACGATTTAAACGCATGTTTGAAAGATCATCTTCCGATATGAGATACTTACCAGTACAATACGGCGATGATCGCGAATGTCTCGGATCTGTTGTGAATCCAATCTGGTTATTCGCCACAATATGAATAGTGCCGTGAGTTGTGTAATCCGGTAAGTCGGACAAGTGCATCGTTTCAAAAACGATACCCTGTCCGCAAAATGCGGCATCACCGTGCAGAAGAATAGACATGACCTGTTAAAGAAATCTATTATACTCTATTCTGATAATATTAGTAACAGAGTGAATATCGTCAGTACTGTACCTTCTTGCCTTCGCCATCGCCGCGATAGAATTGTTCTGCACGAGTTTTGCCTTGCACCACCGGGTCAACGGCTTCCAAATGCGACGGATTAGCCACAACAGCCAACCGGATGTTCTTATTGGTTACTCGATTCAAACGCTCGATGTATGTACCCAAGTGATATTTAACATCGCCAGAACCCTATATAATAGAAAATTAGTAAAGTGGATGGAAATTGACAGAATCAAATTATTATGTCAATGTGCACTCACGTCATCGGCTGCTTCGAGAGCTGCGAATTGAGTGAATATTTGGCTTAAAGGTTTGCGACAAACATTGGCGAGGACGTTCAAACGGCCTCGGTGAGGCATGCCCATGACAATCGATTCGACACCTAATTCGGTGGATTTATCTATTACTTGCTTCATAGCCGGGATCAAAATTTCGCATCCCTCCAAACCGAATCTCTTCTCGGATGACCATTTACGGGCGAGGAAAGCTTCGAATCTATAATTTAACATTTTACTGTTAGTGTCTGTGCATAGATTTTGATAGTTCAATGATTTATGTACCCAGTTGCACGAGTCAATCTGGCTAGGATAAGCCTTCTCTCGTCATTCGTCATTTCCATGATACCGGGCGTTTCCATTTTTTGTCGAATCCAATTGCACTGTTCCAAGGAGTTGATGAACATGAATTCCACGCCAATGTGGCCGCAATAAGTGGATTCCAATCGCTGTAAAATTTCGCGAAGCGGCAACGATTTTTCTTTGCCGCCGATGAAAGTGGTGGACGGCAACTTGAAAACACGATCCATATCCGACTCCTCTGTAGAAATCCAACAGTAGAATATTTGTTGATAGTAAGAACTGACAAACGTAATTAACTGCGGACATCACACACTTACGGCAACGTTCATACGCAGAAAACTAAGTTTTAAATACAACAAACATTTTTTGTTATTACGTTACGGTATTTAAGTACGTATAAAATATTTTAACTATTCCGTATAATAGTTGTTTGTTAATGTGTCATTTTTTAACTGATACTGAAAATGTGATATTGAAGCAAAGACTGAAAAGAAATGACTTTATTCAAATTTCCATACTTGCACTAAGAAATATTCAGAGATTGTAGAAATGCAGTTGATCTTTTCAATAACGTTTACGCGTGCATAGTGTCTGCCACGCGATGTTCACATGCACAATATCTTCAAAAACTAAACAGGCGAGATTGCAACAAACCTTCTCCATAATATTTAGCAAGAGTAGAAATAAATGGGGAACTGAAAAACTTTTCAAATATAAAGCTACAAAACCTCGGTAAAAGCATTAATAGTAAAAGAAGGACAACCACCAACAATACTAACGTGAAAGAATATAATGAACACAATAGAACAAGACTTTCGTATACCTGACAAAATAAAATTTAAAAAGGATATGTTATAAAATATAGGATTTTTAAAGGGCAACTTAACAAGTAAATAGAAAGTTGAAGAGAAAGTTGAAGTTAAGTTATTGGAACAATATCATTTGTATACTTTCTCCAAACCTTCCGAAAAGAAAGTGTAATGGTTATTCCTGACACAAACAACAGAATATTTTAGAATCAATAATTTGCACAAAGGAGTCCAGCACCTTTACCCAATAATTTAGCAACGATACAAATTCTTTTTACGTAATCCCATAACGAACCAGCGCCTCCCAAATATGTACACTGATAGTTCATAGAGAGCTTGGAAGTCAACTCTCGTTTGTAACTTTTACATACTTTTCATAAGTGCAGCTACTCTGTATTGTAGTTCCTGTGAGTAAGTAGTACGTGCTCTGTTTCCTGTGGACATTACACTTGAACTGATTAATTAAAATTATTAAAAAGAAACCTCTTGTCCGTACTGTAAAACTTTATTAGATATTTGTTTTTAACTGATTCCACATAATTGTGATTCTATTACTGTATTAATCTATCTATTACTGTATATAATGTATTTTGTGTGCAGGAAGGAAATCATGATAGAATATGAATTTTAATAATAGAAATAATAGATATGATACAGAACAATGAGTACTATTAGTATGGTGAATTCTAGCTATTATTCTAATGCATTTAAATACCTCACTTAGAGTGCGTCACGCGGTATCTTTATTCCTTCGATTTACGCAGAGACACGTTCATTTGGGCTTACCGAATGAATAATGATTATAGAGCAACTCTTGTGGATGTCTATCATCAAGATCAGCGCTGTTGATGCCAAGCGGATCCAACTTAGCGATATGGTGGCCACGGATCTGTCAATTTAATGCCACGTTCATACGAACCACATAGTTTTCAATTCGTCAAACTTATCAGAACTCATTATATACATTTATATAAATTACTGTGATCGATGTTCGCTTCATTACATTACAAAGGATCAACGTATGTATTTACAAAAAGAGAAAGAAGCAATATTATCTCTTTTGAAAACATCATATCACAGTAATTAAAAGCAAACGTATTAAAAAATAAACGCTTTGTTAATATCAATATTCAAAAAATAAAAGCACGTTATTAAACTCCTGATCTTAAACAATAATAAGTACTTAACTATATACATGTTATTCAACTTCTTGAGACATCAAATTACGATCTAGATAAGATAATAATACTCTGTTCCAGAAACAAACATTCCAAAATAAATTGCGAACATATAAAAGCGAAGCTGACAGCAACGGTACCTACGCGCATGCAAAGCACTGACTTTCCAAGTACATTCTCTTACCTTAAACCAATTTATTTGTGCTCATTTTAGAAAAATATATCACAGATGCTAAAACATTTATCATAAAACGAGTACATCTATTCTGCGAATATCCTTTGTCCATTTATACAGATTACAAAATATAAACCACTGAATGTTCTATTCTTTTCTAAGGAAAACATTTTCAGTATCAGTAACAGCTATCATGGATTCACATTCACATAACATCTTCTTAATACAGTATTTAATAGACAGGATAATTCAATATGAATATGGAATTACATATATTTTTTCATTCGAGAAATTTATAAGGAAGTCTTTCAATTTAGGATAAAATCTGTACTGACGTACGGCACGAAATCAGAAGAGGGGTATGAATAGTTAGAAAGAAGTTAATATGTATGATGGAAACCATGACGTTTGTACTTATGAGGCGAGATATGACATGTATTAGGTGAAGGTGTTTGAAAAAAGCTCCAGCAATTTGGAAGTACCCTTTTGGCAACATTGATGAAACGATTATAATTAATTGAAGCCAGATTCGAATGTTCACGTAATTTAAACACACCTTTACCTTAAGATACACGTGAAAAATAATATTTTAAGGAATTGGTTTGGGATAAAGCCTTACCAAGCATATATTGTCGTAGAACCTGTTCTGGAGCCCCCTTACGGGCTGCATAATGTGTGTGTATCAGGTCTGTTCTCATGATACCCAGTGGGTCCAGATCAGCAACTAAGTGACCTCGAGCCTATATGCCAATGATTAATTCCAAAAGGACCCCAAATTTATATCAGTTTTTCTATTTGTTAAACTACCATACATTACTATAGTGTACAGTACAGAAACACAATCACCCCTTAATTATTTTATCATCAGACAATCCTTATTAGCGAGGTAGATCGAAACTTTCAATTTTTACGTTTCCAAACCCACATAAGAATACGTATCGTAATTTATTTACTCGTATTAATAAAAATGTTAAAGCACTCCAAAAATCTATCTTAATATTATTCTGAGTTTCTCTATTAAATTTCTCTTTTTAATTCGTTAAAAACGAAATTAATAATAAAAAGACAAATCATGAAACATAAGGAAAATGTTTAATTGCGAGACACATGCTAAAATTGCAAGGGGATAGATGCAATGAGCATCCCATGGTATGATACTGTTATGCAATACTCGAATATGATTTTACGTTCTTAATCAGTGCTTAAGAAATTCTTTTTTCTAATGATAGCCCAGTGATGAATTATTTCATGAGACACAGGACAGCCCCTTAATGAAACAGTTTCAATATCAATTTCTTATGTCCTCGATTTCATCACTTAACTTTTTTTTCCTTTTATCAATTGTGCAAATAAAAGTACATTATGATATTCCCAAAGGAAAAAAACATTAGGACTTGGAAATTGAAAAGAAACTCTTGCTCAATATCACATGCAATATGATAATAAAAATTTCCCTTGACATAAAACATACATACAAAGTTTCTAGAACACATGCTATAATGTTCCAAGATCAAATAAATCGAGGTATTAATACACTTATTATATATGAATATAAAAAATAAACTAAAGATCAAGAAGACCATCTATAAGCTTTAACATGAAGCCATAAAACACTATACAAAATTGAGAATTGGAAATTAACGTTTCATAAAACGCGTAAACATATTTTTCTCTTTAATAGTGAACAAAAACTGTTTATAAGGCACACTTAAGAAAGTCAAAGTGCATAGAAACGAATATTCTTTAATTTACGATTATTCATTTTCCTTTTAAATATACATATATGATATGAAATTAACATACCTGGTAAGAGCGAATAATAGCTTGGACAGCCAGATGGTCGTCAATTACTTTTTCATTAATTGGCATTTGACTCAACTGCGAGCCACCACCAAGAGGTAATAGTGCCCCTAATGGAACTTGGTTATGACTTGGGGCAAGGGATGGTGGGGCTTGGTATGCTTGTCCTGGTGCAGCTCCCGCAGTGGAACTGCGGAAGAATGAATCCCAGGACTGTGAAAAAGAAAAGAAGTTTATAAAAAGCTATTAAAAATTCGACAGTGATCAACGAATACTGTACTGACCACATGTACGCTATGAGGGTCTTGTAGCCAAGCATTGTACATTTCTTCTACATAAGAACTAGTGCTGCCATTGAGGAAAGGTTCTGTGGCCACCCTGCTGCTGTACTTCCTCTGTGCTTCACTAACCATCACCTGTGTGGTCCTTGTCAGGGGATGGCTACGTACCAGCCATGAAGCAAACCTCTCTGGCCCACACATTCGTGGAGCCAGAGGGGCCAATGTACTGAATACTGTCCTTGCCTTATACATTTTTAGCTAAAACGAAAAATAGTGCTACGTGTAAGTGGAAGAATTTCTTGAACGTGCTTCAACTTTATAATCGCTATCTTAATATATCTTTAAACTTTGCTTCTGAACTACAAAGATAAAACTGTACATTTAACGATATTTAAAATACATCGCATTTCTTCCTTAGTCAGTTATTTACAAAAGTAATTTCCTTGTGACACCAACGTGTAAATCTCGATCTATTTATAAAAAATATTTCTACGTTTCTTTTTGAAGTTAGTTATAGATTTCAATTGCGCAATCAATTACAGTGTGCCAATTTTTGCCACTCAATGCATGGTGACATCAATCGATTTACAATTGAAAGGTTGATGAAAATTTAATTAGCAATGATGTAACTGATAAGCTTGAAATTTAAGACTCGTCCAAATTGTACTAATAGGACATATTTAATCTTCCTTCATGAATTGAGCGGCGTAAAGTACCAGAAGTTTATTTAAGGAATGGCAAACATCCAACGTCGGTTATTTATTATTATACCATAAACTGCGCATAAAAAACAATTTGTACATTAGTAGATTAAATAAATTTGATATAAGTATCCCATTAAGATTAAGATACGTTTCACTAGATACAATTAGTAAATTTTAAAGATATTTAAAAAATCCAGTTTGTAAGATAAATTTATTTCCATTAGCCACAGCGAATTAATTACATGGATACGAATGTCTGAGTAATAGAAGTCACTATTATGCACATTACACAGCAGACTAGTCTGGGCAAATAACCTTGTTGATTATGTCGAGTGACTAATGAAAGATAAGCTAAGGAAGACAAAACAAATGAAAATTATTCGTCATGAGCTTTCTATAGTCAAGTAGCAAAACATGTTACACGAATAAAACAAGAATTATACGATGGCATTGTAATTCGTGCTATCAGTGAAATGTAAGACGTGAAATAAAAAGAAAAAGTGTTTGTATCAATAGTGATACGCGAATGATCATGAATTATCAACGATTACAAAATATTACATGTAATCGATGATTAGCTAACTGTACGAAATGTAAAAGTAAACAGAAAACGCAAATAAAGATGACAAAATATTGACCTAATTCTTTCCAGTTTTTCAGATTTCGCAACAATCACGTGTCCTTAAAACTTTAAGGTAAGAAACTGTTACGCATTATGCAAAATAATATATATTCGAATTTAAGAAGACTAAGAAACTGTGTACAGAAAATAGATTAGCCAAACTTCGTATTTCAAACGTAATTAAACAATTCAAAGACCACAATTTTACAAATCGAATGAAACACTGTCAGTAGCGTGCGATACTTATTTCAAAACGTGATTACACGTCAATCTTCGTATCGACGAGGTATTTGAAAAGTAAATTCCAAGGTTTCATTAACAATAAGAGCAAGCTCATGGAAGAATAAATTAGGTTACGCCTGTAATACAAAATACCTATAGCGATTGCACAATTGTATTTACTTATAAGTGGATACATAGAAAAAACTGCATTTTTCATTCAGTACATTTACGTTGGAGGTTACTTGATTGAATCATGACTCCAACGTGTTTTTGTACCGTAATGCTAATACAAGAATATAAATTTAATTTGAAATTTCCTAATTGTATTCGTTATTTTCCAAAAATATGGAAGGGATAACTGCATTTGTTAAGTCAGATGACTATTTTCGTCTGGTGCAATAATTTTACGTAACGGAAAATGACTCACGTAAAAAGGATCACTCAGTAAAAGTGGTATTCATCGTAGAGGATTGATAGTCGCTCATTGAAATTATAATTCGTTTTCCTTAACGTCGCGGTTATAAATTACACATGAATTTAATAAAAATTCGCTTACCTGATGTTAACGCAACGACGATGACAGGCCGTCCACCATTTACAACTCACAAGTAGATCGAACTACGTCTTCTTAAATTATAATCGAGAAACAGACGTCAGCGCGCCCAACGACGAAACCCGACAGCCGGGTGTTGTCATAATAAATTTCATTTAAAAATTGATACCGGCTACCTCTTTGTGCGAGACTTTTCTTATCCCCTTTCTTTTTTGAGCTGCAGAGCTATTTTTGAATTTGCGGTCACCTTTGTGAACGGACGTTCCTAGCTCACTATTGCATAGTTTTAATATTGGAATTTTTTCATGATTTTTAGAATAGTTAGGATCTTCTGTCTATGTAAAACGACTATCTTTTAACGAAAGAAGAACGTGTCGAAAACAAATGATACTCGGACCAAAATGTAATCGATAAACGATAAAGGTTTAACCTACGAGTTGTTGTTTTACGAATTTTTATAGAAGTATGATAGTCAGTGTACATTTATAAATGAAAGTGGTACAATAAAATATTTAATTTATAATAATCTATGATCTTCTAGTATCTCTCATTAGCCTATAACCATCCCTTCTTTTTTTTACAGATGACATAAATAATAAAATGGAATCTTTCACAGTTCCAAATTTATCAAATAATCCTTCGAAAACTGATCTTCCACACAATGAAAATGAACTGTCAGAGGAAACCAAACAGAAAGAGTCAGAATTATGTTCTCTCACGCCTAGAACTTACAATGTTCCACAGAGCATGCATACTCGTTCAAATTCATTGTCTCCAAAAAATCCAACAGAGAACACAGTCGTATGTACCACGTATAAGTCTCATATACATTTTAGCATATTTATGAAAATATTGTTAGCAGTGTAAAGAAGAGCATAATCATAATTGGCAGCACCCATATCAAAAACATTTAACAGAATATTCTACAAAATTAGTGGAGAACATTGAAGACTCTAAAGATACTTTGGAACAGTTACTTCTAGACAATCAGAATGAATACTTGCTCAGAGAATTAGCTTCTGCAAGGGATGCTTTGAGATTGAATATATCTGAGAGTAGATCTACAGATAAGGGTAAAGTGAAGAATGAGAAGAAAGAGAAAGGAGTGTCTTCAGCGTTGGCAAGCAAGAGAGGTTCTCTGTCCAAGTTAGATAACATGGTTTCGTTGAAAATTAAAAAGAAAAAAAAGAAAGTACACTCATCCAATTCAAGAAGTACCGTCACCACGAGAGATACAAATTACATGGGAAAGAAGGAGCCAAAGAAACGAAAACAAAAAAGTATTAAGAACGATGCATATTGCAGTTTTTTATACTGACTCTCCTGTATATTTTAGATACTCTGACTAATCGTCATACGTACAAGCCTAATCAGACATCCAATGAGGTAGTGGAAATTTATCATAATAAAGCAGTGAAGGGTGCTAGTGCCTCTGCTATTCCTAGCAAACATTCGAAACTTGATCATCGTATGAACTATATCAACATATTAACATCTTCGGCTATGAATAAACAGCAAGTTGCTAAAGCCAAATGCGAAGAAAACAATTACCAACATGGTCGCGAGCTAGATGTAAATAATGTACAAAATTCTCAAAAGCAACAGGACCACTCTAAACAAAAGACAGAGTAAGGACTCTTAGTAATGATTATGGAAATGATGTACTTGCATGGAACTGTACGTTTTTCTACTTTTAGGGGAAGAAATACTAATACTAATGATGCAAATTATAATTTAGAGGTTTCGTCCGCTCCTCTGCCTCCCGTGGATAAATGCAATTCATACAAATGCCAGCACGCGGTAATGCAAGCATCCTACTGTGACCCTATAGTTACTCATAATTACGAAATGCCAACTTTATCTTCAAAATTGAAAAGAGTGGATCGTGCATATTTCGCAAGATTCCACTTTCGTAACATACCCTTTGTAGTGGGCAATTCTATGGCCACTAGCCATAATTTAGGTTTGAACATTCAAGAAGTGTGTAAAGTAAGGAAAATCCTTAGACAATTGTACGAATAACAAATGCTTATCATCACAGTTCATTCTCTTCTTTTCTAAAAGGTTTTAAGCGTAATGAAAACAAAGCAGCCCGTTGCACCTGGCATTACTCCACTTCTTATTCGCAAAATTAGCAGAGGAATGAGACCTCCGACTTTTCTAGTAGACCAGATGAATCATAATCATAGGTGCAAAATGTCTCATATGAGCAATCCACAAATACAAAATATGCACATGCATAGTTTCCTACAGAACGCAAATATGTGTTGGAATGATAAGAGAGTAGACAATTATAATTTGAATCCAACTATAGAACAGTATCAGAATCTAGAAGAGAATACAAACAAGTTCCAAAACCTTCAAAAGAAAAACGTATGCACGACATAAAAAAATATTTTATTATTGTGCGCATAAGCTTATTTTTATTTCTTCACAGGATACTAGATCGGACAATCAATTGCACACGACACTCAATATGACACAAATGTTACACGCGGGAGACAATAAGATGTTAAAGTTATTTGCCTCCCAACAAAATGTAAAAGCACACCTTGAGGGACCGGATATACAATCAAAAATTTATCAGGTAAATCCGTATCGATTGAAAGATCAATCAATCAACTGAAAATATCAATGTGAAATGATTTATAGGGAGTTATATCTGATAAACATATTACTGATACCTCGTCGATAAGCCAGTCTCAAGATTCGAAAGGAATCCGAGAAGTTTTAATCAATCTTCACGATCAATTTGAAGAGATGAACGCGTAAGTTATATCGCAGTTGAACTACAATTTTGTGTCAACTTAATTGTTTTCAACAAATTGTAGAAAATATGAAAAACTACAAGAGAAAGCGAAAACGTGTAGTGACAAAGATTTGGAGGAAAAGATACAGAATTTAGAGAAAGATTTAGCTGCCAAAGAAGATGAAATAAATGCCGTTGTTAATTTATATAAGGAGGTGAACCAAATTACGTTTCAAGCCAGAAGTATTTTATTAAAATCATGTTTTAATCTTTCTCTTTGTTAATCGCAGGTAATGTCGCTAAAACAGCAAATGAGGATGTTACAAGAGAAGAATGGTTACGTTTGCATATCGACGGAAATCCCATTGGCATCAAATAAATTCTATACCCAAATGCCATTTGCGCAAAGCAAATCTTGTGGCTCGGCTTTTACCCATAGATGTGGTCATAGAAAAGGAAGTAGCGTAATTACAAATAGAGAACCCACATCGTACCGTTTGGCCGGACTCCTACGACAAATTCAAACGTTTCAAAAGCAATTGACACTATCATGGTAACGGTACCTCACGATGCGCCGAATTTATTTCTTACACGATCATTGTTTGAACTACTTCTCCATACAATGAGAAAATAAACGAAAATTGTGTAAAAAAAAGGGAAACAAATTCGAAGATAAATAAAATTTGTAATATTTTTTAACTATATACGATTAATAGAATGCTCAACTGAAGAATATAATAAGAGTTTTCATTAAAACAATATTTCCGGAGGCTTCATCGGGGTCTTTCTATATATAACAAAGTAATGTCTTCCGCTGCTCTGTGATTCCTGCTTTATTCAATTCTGCAAGCTACTCACTATCACGAATAATAGATTTGTATGCATGTATGATTTTGTATATTTATATACGCACCTTGTATCCATGTGTATTATTTATATGTATATACATAATCTCTTGTTTGTAAACGCTGCATTTTTTTACTCTTTTACTATTCGTTTATAACTATTTTTAATACATGTATAAATAAAAAGTTGCAAATACTTCTTTTTGTATTTAGTTCTTAAATGCATCGTTAAACTGATCACTCATAATAGTAACTCATTTTTAATCAATACAGAATACATTAATTAAAACGACGAAAATATTTATTTCTTAAGCAATTAATACATCTCCTTCATAGGATTTATAACAATTTATTTTTAATCGACATTAATAGAAAATGTTATATCATTTTTAAGGCAGTACTCTTTTTCTTCTATTGTGACGAATGCCTCTACATTTAAGATTTATCGACTTGAGATGTTTCTGTGATATTTGATATAAAAATGAGTTCTGTTAGGAATACAACTGTATGAATAATGATTTAGAAAACGTAGGAGAAAATCACATAGATAAACTACTACCTTTTAAACAATTAAAAAATACGATGAAACTAGCATTCAATTAAATTACCGGAGTCCTTCTCATTCTTCGATATTTTACTTCAATTTTTGTTGTTTTCTGTGTGTTGGTTCTTTTTACAAAAAAATGTGAACATTACTTAATTTACTACTTTTGTTTTTACGATCTTTTAAACAGATCTATCGATCTCGATTACCTTCTACGAAGGATACAGCCAAAAAACATTCCTTCACTTCAAGAAATCGTTCCCACAAAAAGAAAAAATCAAAAATATTTTCACACACGCTCTCCCATGTTAACACAAGCAATATACCTCTCATATTATATCACAGACTAAATGATGCTTTGGTCTAAGTCTAAAGAATCGTATCTTATCTTTCTTTTTCGTTTATTCCGCGCGTCGGCCAGCGTTTAAATTTTTAACAGACGTCAAGATCAAAACGTTCAAAGGAAACTAGTTTCTCGGTAGAAGTGCAAAAATAAATTAATGATAAAAGCTGGGATCGCTACAACTTCTTTTTAATCAAAAAGGGAAATAAAAATTCAACTAAAACATGTTGCAAGGAACCAATTGAAATTACGCATATAATTCTCAGCATTTTTCTTTTATAATCGGTCTGAAAATTCGAACATCGATCTATGTAATATTAATCAAGACTGTTAAATCATATCTAAGATAATTTATAAGATATTTCCTACATCATTATTTTAATTGTTGACATACGTACTATTACCAAAATGAGAAACGCGATCCTCTTTAGCGTATTTCCATGCTCGTCAAACTCGCAAAGCACTCTTTTCTGTTTAATTTGATACACTTTAAACATAAGCTATAGCACCTTCGATTAAAACGCGTCAAGTTCAACTTTAAATCTACTGAGTATATAAATTATACATATGTACCTGCATTACGTTATGATCGCCTTAAAACGTTACTCGCACAAATATAAAACAAAAAGAATTAACGAGCATTCAATGAATATGTTTAATACAGCTATAAGACTGTAACATTTTATAGTACTCTACAATTATAACATGTGATATCTCTTAAAAGGTACTTATATTATGAATAACCCCACAGATTCGTTCTTTACTCTCAGGTGTGTCCTGTCTGTAAATCTATTGATCATTGTTTTAACGATAAAATAAATAAATCTATTGCTTTTACTTTAAATTATATACTAACTATTTGCCTCCTGTAGTTTCGTTCGACGTGTCGGTTTAATGAAAAAAAATATTTTACGTTACATTATATAAAAAGAGATTAACAACAGTAATCAAAATGGAAAAATATAAATGATGTAGTTAATTGCTGGAATTCAAATATGTGAGTACACAATGTCTCTTAAACAAAGGAAATTAATATAATGTAGTTATAGATATATACTTGTTATACATTCATTTCTATTGTGGAATTGATTTCATTATTCATCATAGTCCTTCCTTAGATGTTTTGGATTACGGTTTTTTAACTGCTCGTTTGCCTTAATTTAGAGTAAGATACATGTCTCTGTTTTTTATTCGATATTTAATCAACACAAAGAAATGTGTAAACGTAGAAAAATATGAAACATTGCTCTTTTATTACAACACAGTATATATCAATATGTATATATATGCGTATTTATGGAAATAATATAATAAAATAGGAATAAGTTTAAGAATTTTGTAACACTGGTAAAAAAATATGTACAAAACTTTCACTGGAGCAAGTCAGTGATAATTTTTGTTTCTTTAATACTCTGTTACTTGATGTTCTTACTCGTGTAAATAGTCAGACTTTACAATAATCATGCAAAACACGTTTCCTTGTGTCATCGAATTTGATATCTCGAGTGTTCCAAGAAAAGTAATACAAGTGCAAAATGGCAGATTGTTTATAACAAGATGACCAATATTACTTTCTACCTATTAATGTTTACAGTTCAAATTACTATCCTGGTACTAATTGTATCGTTTATTATCGTTTTAATATAATTTTATAATATGTCTTTTAAGAGAATTTATCAAAACGAAATATTAAATAATAATGAACGAAATTGTTTTTCAAAATACCTCATCACTGTAACTAGATGGCTTCTTCGTTCTTCTCTCAAAGTATTTTGATTCTTGGATAAACTTTAATTTATCGTACGTACTATCTTTTAATAAATGTCACTTCCTTTAAATATTTTCTTTCGGACATCCCTATTGCATAGTAGCCATTATTTATAACTGTATCAATGTTGTATGAGTTATCGACTGTTTAATAATCACTGCGCATGTTTTACACAATATTCTCGAGACTTTCTGGTTGTCAAATGCATGTAGACGTTAAGACAGCCGATTAGATACTGCGTCAAGCATTTTTAGCCAGCAGGGCATCGATCAATCGAAGTTTTGCTTTAGCCTGTTTATATGATTCATAAACTGTTGTAACCTGCGGACCACGATCTTCCCTTATCATTCTGCGCCCGGCCCGAGCTTCGAATTGTGCTTCTAATTCTTTCAACGCTCGTCGCAATCGCTTTTTCTCTTCTCTAGTCACTTTTTGTTGGATCAACAGTTCTTCCCTGAAATTAAATAATTAATTATATAATTGATCAGGATGTATCTGGTAGAATAGTTATCAGAAACTTACTGTGGAAGCGCGTGAAGAATTTCGTTGTTACTACGGCTCCCCTCGCTACTACTGTGTTGGCTATCACTGTCGGTTGGTAATTGGTCTGTTGTGTCTATACAATCCAAAATACCTCTATGTGACATGTCAGGCTCGCTCGCTCTTCTTTCTGTGTCGGATGTGTTATTAGGTAAATTGGATGATGTAAAATCCATTGCTTCGTGCTCCAAAATAGTAGCTAATTCTGAAATACTATCCTTATTTTTGGTCTGCAAAAAAATACACAAATATAGTCGATATATAAACCAATAGAGCATCAGGTTTGTAATTAATAATATTCGAAGAATGCTCACCACTCCTGCTCTAATAAGTAATCTCTTCAAAGTCCTATATTTATCATACAAAGGTCGCACAACAGTTCTGTCTTCCTTAGAAACTGGTCTTCCGAAAGTGTTTTCGATATGGAGCAAAGCTTTTTGAACAGCAGTCTTTTCGTCTATCAGCTGTTCGTAAGATAATTCCTCCATATTTTCGGATCTGTTATATTTTATCCTCTTCTCACTAAGTTTCTTCTCTACTTCCTTTACCATTTCTTCCATCGATATTGCCCTGGACTTCTCTTGACTATTATTATTATTCGTCGGGCTACCATTAGTTGTCCTTGTTTTGTTGTTTGCGTTAGCTATTAACGCGCTAACCGGGTCTTCTTTTAACATCTTGTGCTCCTTCCGCAATTTGTTCAGCTCTGTACACAATCTTTTTATATCCCTGTTACTCATTTTATCGGAATGACTAGGTCGATAACCAAAGTTCTCCTCGAATTCGTCTTCGTATTTCTTTATCTTTTTCTTCAAGCCGTTTATGTGCTTCGTCAAATTTTTCAAACCGCGCTCCGCAACATTTGGCCCGCTGGATGGCATTTCATTCTCGGAATAAAAGCGTCTGGGTAACAATAAAGAGTTTCGTGGAGAAAGCATGGCTTCCACTCGCGCATCAGCAGCCTCATCCTGTAATCAATGAATCACCCTATAATCACATGTGAAATCGCTACTCAAAGTAAATTACAATTAAATTATTTCGTTGTTGCTTACACTCTCCTGCCGTTGAAAAGCCCAATTGGTTAAGCCGGGGTTATATACATCTTCCTGACCAATTGTTGGCGGTCGAGCAGGTGATGGCGATCGACTCGGACCGCTGCTCAACATTTCCAAGAAACTTTGTGCCGGAGAACTGTTACAACTACCAGGGCTCGATGACGCATAAATGTTATCAATTTCTTCTTCATTTTCCTATCATAGGAATGCTCATCGTGACTCAAGTACAAAATCACATATTTTATCATATTTCCCACCATAATGAACGGAAGTTACCTTGCTCGAATTTTCGGCGTCTGCAATTTTATGCACTCTCCTCCTTCGTGCCTGCCTTCTTCCTCTCGGCGTGATGCTTCGACTAAACCGTTCGCTACTTCTCAACTTCTCGGCATCGCATTCGAATTTTTCCGTTTCTAGAGCTGTCTCGCAGGGCGATGAAATCGGCGGAGTTTTCTTAGATACGGGCGAAACATTCGTCCGTTCGTGCAAGGGAAGATTCCCGCACTTCTGCGAAACGACACCGCTTTATGTTTGTAAAACGTATTACAAACGTACACGCGCGCACGGCTTGCCGTTAGCGAATGAGTTATTCGAATGTTCAGAGAACTCACCACTCCGTGACCCATGTCTTGTCCAAGTTGAGATAAAATATGTAAATGTTCCTCGCTGTTGAAATCCTCGTGGCTGCTCACGCGTCTAATCGTGTCTGCGGTTTCAGTGGGACTTTCGAGTACCCGCTCCTCGCTGCTACTTCTGGAAACCGTTCGTTCGACTCGGTTAAAGCTGCCCGGACGTTTACCGAATCACGAATCTTATCTTATTTCACCTGATCAATTTCCGTTCTTGACAGCAGGACTCGTGACGTTCCTTACGCTTACGCGGTTTCAGCGCGCAAAGTAGAGACGCGCCCTCGGAATCTTTCGGCTCGTTTTGTGAGTCGTTGCAAATCTTACAATCACTCGCGGGGATCACGCCGTTCACCACGTTGTCACGAGTACTGAAAAGAGATGCAACAGAATAAAATTCCAGTTATACCTCCCCTTTTATCTTTTTTGGCGTTGTACATTTCGTATCTTTCGCGATTTAATATTTATCATAAAAATGTTATAAATGCTATGATAAATGTTGTATAATCGATTCTTATATATTAAGTACACATGCGTATCTATATTATAGTGATAGTGAGTTGCAGACTTGTAGACCACAGATACTTTCGCAGTGAGTCATCGGTCTCCGCGATCATTTTTTTTCTAACAAGATCGATAGTAGTAGCACTGGCACCGCACTAACTCATTCTAACTTACTTTCTACTCATACTGCGATAAAATATACGTATTCAAGTTCACCTAATCTACGTATCCAAAACCGTAGATTACATAAATTGTAATAGAGTTCTATTTTTGCACGCACCATTCTTAATTCGTCCGTTCTCTGCACGCGATCGGAAAATTCCATTGCGCATTCAGGACCGATTCAAGCGGAATTTGCAAAAAAATTTGCAACGCGAACAATTGACCAATGGACTTTTAAAAAATTAATTACAAAATAAGAAGTTAATTAAAGATAGAGGGGAAGTAATGCTTGCACGTGCTATTGCAAAATGTAAGAAGTTCAAAAGCCGTTCGGTATAAGTGGTGTAATGTTTTTAATGAACTGACGTATAGGCAAATGTGTATGAAAAAAGATGTGAGTACATTCTAAGATACCCTTACTGATTTCGTACCATTGAACTTGAATTTCACAAGTTCTTTATGATGTAATACTGATTTACATATGCATGTTACTGATCCGTACACCCGAGCTGGTATGTATACATCAATCAATGTTCCCCGAGCGAACTTTAACAGCAATCATATTTGATTAGAATTATCGCTTAGATTTGGTAATGCCATCGCAAGAAAATTGAAAAGTTACATTGAACAGAATCGCGCTTTCAACCGAAGAAAAAGGGTAAGCCGGATCGATCGGTGTTAGAGAGAAATGCCTTTGCTTAAGGTAGGTCACGTCATTACGCGTTTCATTGTGCTTTCTCGATAAGCTTTTCCTCATTCTCTGGAATCAGGTTCACCGGCGTTGACACTATTTTCGCCATAAATATAAAAAGCCATGGTGCATTAAATCTTATAATTAATGAATGATACGCATCACCTCACTAATGCAATAAAATGCTTACAAGTAGAGTTAAGCGTAAGAAGTTGAGATCTGTTCCATTATTTAATAATAATCGAGTTCCTACGTGACGGAGAACTAAGTCAGCAAGGGTTAAAACGAATCGATTGAAAATTTTCCGATAGGGCGAAGATCATTTTACTGATATCGTACGTACATCTAACCATAGGAACAATCAATATCATCAACATTATATAAAGGTGAAGAAAGATTACGCTTATATGGATGCTTCTATCGGACTTTGACAAACAGGAAGATCATGTGTACGTTTCGGTAAAATTATATAAGTGTTCGTGTTCTTTTTATCATATTCGGACTTCTATTAATCAAATTATCTTCTTTGTTTGTACCATGCGGTAAGAAGACTCAGTTGTATAATTTGCTGTACTAAAAGGATCATAACTTCTTAACTCCGACATTTTCATTTGCGAGACCTACCGGTGTTTTGGGTATCGTCAGAGAAAAACTAGGGAAAGAAAAAATCGATCTTACTCGCGTGTCGAGACTTGATACATATTATTGGATGAACGTGGAACTTACTGTACGCGTATCCTTCCCTTTTGCTATAGTGGTCGCTCATGTAATGACGAAGACCAACTTTCTTTTCCAATGGCGGACCACCGGCGCGAAGACGAGTCTCTCGGCGATTCGATGGAACATTTATAGTCACCTGGTTGTAAATCTAGACGAGAGAGCAGTCACTCCGTCCTACTAGCTTACGCAAATTAACACGCGCACGCCTTTCCGTTCGGGAGTTCAAAAAGAACCGTTCGGTTGTTACAATGAACGGACCACACTGTTTCCCCGCATACCAGACACACGTTTTAATGATACACGTATGTACGTGTATCTACAATGTCGAATTGGAATCGATGTTTCTAACGTAGCTACCTAATTTTATTAAAGAATTCACGGCCGATTTCGTGTTTACGGAGGCGTGCCTCGCGCGGACCTAATTAAATATGCACATATGTACAGGTCGAACGAAATGTGAAATTACTTTCGGACACGTGTAGGTATATTGCAGACGCTCACGTTGACACGAACAAGTCAGCGGTCAGACTGCGCTAGTTGCCGATCGCGACCCTCCTTCTATATTCTGTCGGCTGACACCGATCCTGGGTGACTCGTCTTTGCGCGTGACGCGGCGACTTCCCGAGCCCATATTACATATTAACAGCCTGCGTGCACGTGACAATCCCAGAGAGAATCGATCGGCTCGAAACCGTTTTCCCATCAGCATACTCTTTCGTAGTACGTACCCTGCTAGCATGGGTGTTAACGGAGTAATCCGACCGCGGCTAATCTGGCGCGATTAAACGCTGGAATTTTATCGAACGTGTATAGATTTCATTGAAGAAAAAGAGGAACCTTCGCACCTACCGGCTTCCACACAAAGCTAGACACATGCTGAGCTGTGCAAGATATATTATGCGCGTACTTTTCCTATGCCGCATCGAAAGAAACAAACACCTCAGAACCGGTTCGAGGCTTGTTCTCACTATCGATAAACTCGACAATTAACTTACAGTTACCTTCTTTTCAATGGAAACTCTATACGTATAACATAATGTATACGATCGATACAATCGAACGAGTAGATCACTTTCGCGTCTGTCTATCTGTCTACATAATTATTGTATGTCCATTCTGAGTATTTTTAGTCCGACTCCGTTTCTCGAAACTTCGATTCTGTATAGTATCTACATCCATCCTATATTTAATCATACATATTGTATTAATTACAGCTATTTTCGGATACCTAATTAAATTGTTATATGTATATCAAACGAGTATTCATTTATCGTTAGCATGAAATACTGATGTTACTCAAATGTATACCTCCTTCTGATCGCATGTTTGGCTTCCTGACGTCAACCGGACGTTATTTTTGGTCGACGATGTACATTTAGCACGGAGCTAAGTCGTAAAATCACCGGCAATAGGATACAGGCGCATCTCAACTACGAACATTCATGATAAACCGCATTCTTGCGTCCAACCGTAATGACAGTTCCTTAAATACTTAACGAATCTCAAACAAGCTCTAGCCATCCGCGAACGCCTCATCTAAAATCTAAATTAATGAGGAATAATAATATATGTATATAAAATTCTTTGTTTATAAAAAAGGATCTCCCATTAAGTCCACCGTGTCTCACGTTCATTAATATTTCGATCGAATCAGCCAAAAGATGGAAAATACTGCACGTGTATCAACAAATCGATTCATATGCTAAACAGTGAAAGAGGACCTCGGTTCCCGGATTATTTTCGCTGGTAGGCGTGCTACTGCCTCTCGCAGAAACCGGCTTGTGTGAACGTGACTCTTCCGCTTTTGAATAGGGATGCAAAATACACATCCCGAGTATCTGCAGCGTAGTTACGCTTTAGGATTAGGTAGAAGATTGGCGAAACATATTAGGAAAGATTGCGTCATTGCCTCGCGGTGTCTCAATGGTGCGTTATAACAATACTGCAAACACGTGTAATCGTTAGCCACTGTTAGATCATTTTAAGGATGTATTGGCTATACAGTCAATCCCAAAAGTTTATGCACTTTAGAGACGCATTTTTTAAAAAGAAATCAGACGTCGGAAGAACATTGCTAATAATAAACAACCAAAAAAAAATTTCGATTTTTCCGAAATTTTTCCAAGGAGTACCCCTTCAGATTCGGCAACATTTTCGTTTTTTGCCAATAACTCCTAAACCGTTGGTCCTACGGGAAAATTGCACAGGACCTTTTTTTAGAGATCTACAATTCCTGTATAAAAGTTTCTTGCTAGCATCAATAGTTAACGAGTAATTTGCAAAAAACTGTTTTTTCGTTTTTCGTAAATAACTCGTAAACTATTAATGCTAGCGAAAAACTGTTATACAGAAA